TCAACAAGAAGCGATACGCCGGATTATACTGGACGAACCCCAACAAATACGACAAGATGGATACGAAGGGTATTGAAACAGTCCGTCGCGACAACTGCCTGCTGGTTCAGAATGTTATCGAGACGGTCCTACAAAAGATTCTGGTTGAGCGGGACATTGATGGGGCACAAGAGTAAGATCACTTGCGGAAGCCTCTTTGCTTGTGCTAACTATATTCCAGCTACGTCAAGGACACCATTTCCGACCTTCTGCAAAATAAGATCGATATGTCGAAGCTCGTGATCACCAAGGCCTTGTCCAAGGATGCGTATACGGCGAAGCAGGCACACGTGGAACTCGCGGAGCGCATGAGGAAGCGTGACGCGGGTTCAGCACCCACGCTTGGCGACCGTGTGGCATATGTCATTATCAAGGGTGCCGGAGGGTCCAAGAACTACGAAAGGTCCGAGGATCCGATCTATGTCCTTGAGAACAACATCCCCATCGACACGAAATACTACCTCGACAATCAACTAGCCAACCCGCTCGGCCGTATTTTCGAGCCCATTCTCGGAGAAAAGAAAGCCAGCCAGCTCCTCACAGGCGAACATACCCGTGCCATCTCCGTGGCCGCGCCAACCATGGGCGGACTGATGAAGTTCGCCAAGAAGACGCAAACCTGCCTGGGATGCAAGAAGCCCTTATCCGGCAAGGAAGAAGCAGAGGGCGCCGTGTGCGCTTACTGCCGACCTCGTCTCGGCGAGCTCTACACCAAGTCATTGACCAAAGTATCAGACCTGGAAGTCCGGTTCGGGCGACTCTGGACTCAATGCCAGCGGTGTCAGGGCAGTTTGCACTGCGAAGTCATCTGTTCGTCCAGGGATTGTCCTATTTTCTATATGCGCATGAAGGCAAAGAAGGACGTGGAGGACGCACAAAAAGAACTGTCTCGATTTGATAATGATGCGGGTGCATGGTAATGATACAGTGATATCTTGGGTATGATATAGCAGCTTGTATGACTAGCCTTGGTTTCACAGATGACGGCGTATTGGGAGCTAGCAGGGGGTTCATATATTATGACTGAATAATACAACATATTTGTATGCATCGATAAATGTGTATTCTGCACTTGGCTTGATCCCTGAAACCAACCGTACCATTCACATGCCCTAACGAGCGAGATCAAGTACCGCTGCCAGGCAGTGCAAAGCAGTGCTACAAGGCTGGAAGAAATTCCAACCAATTGATTAACCAGGTGTGTACCCCATAATATTGTGGCTGGCTGAATCAATCAATGAACAAAGGTTACTCGAATCCCGACAATGAGCTAGAACCGGGGAAACGAAGGGTTGAATGTAACGCTGCCAACACATTGATACTATCTCCAATGGCTTCGGGAGGAGGCTAAACGGAGCCCCTTTAACCAGCGGGTACTTAGACAGCTGAGAGTGGGGACTAGCACGGCCGAGTTTCTTTATTAACTCAATGTTGGGCTCTGTGCCCAGTCAGACGGTAATGACCGTTCGGGGGGGTCGTTAGTGCTTACGGAAAAATGTTGATTGGACGTATCGGTTATACGCAGGTAGTGGGAGATAATTAGTCTAGATATGGCCGAGCTAGTATGCTTCGCTACTATACCACTGCATTAGTGGTCTTGGGGGCGAAAAAAGGGACTGACAGGACAGGGAGGCGGCTCTCCAAGTCCGGGATGCATGCGGCTCCAGACTATGTGCCTACTGCCTAGGAAGGGATCGTAAGAAAGTATATAAGTCTCAATGGAACCCAGTCTGGAGTGGATGACACCATCGAGTTTGTAAATCATCAATTGAGCTCCAATCAATACTTCCCTTCCCTCACAATGACTATGACTACCACTACACCACCCCGTCGGGTATTCCTCATCAGCGTGCCACGCTCAGCATCCCATCTCCTTCTGAAGATCGTGGACATCCACAACCAACCCAAGTTCTTGACCAACGAACAAGGCGGCTACTTCTTCTTCCCGGCCTTCGCGCCCGCCATCCACGGCGGGTACGCCGACAAGCCACTGAACGAGTGGACAGACGCCCAAAAGGAAGAAATCAAGGCATCATTCCATGGCTGCGTCTCGAGTCTGGAAGAGTACTCGGAACGAGCACAAAAGGCGGACAAAGCCATGTTCATCAAGGAACACGCATACTGGTTCATGAACCCGGCAGTGATGTACGAACTGATGACCGGAAAGGAGGACCCGGAGCTGTTCAAAACGTTCCAGCTGCGCTTATCTGAGAGCAGCTACGGCCCAAACACCTTCTCGTCCTCGAACAAGACCGTCCTGCCGGATGAATACCTCCGCAGCTGGCAAGTAGCGTTCATCATCCGCCATCCGGCATTAGCATGGGCGTCGATGTATCGCGCCATGACCAAGATCAAGAGTTTCGGAGGCATGGGCGATAAGGAGTTCATGGGTGTGTGGAAGACGAATACGACGCTGCGGTGGACCCGCATGGTGTATGATTGGTGTTTGGAACAACAGGGTGCTCAGCCTGTGTTGATCGATGCGGATGATGTTACTCATAATCCGGCTGCTGTGAAGAGGTTCTGTGAGCTCACGGGGTTGGATCCTGAGAAGATGCAGTATGAGTGGAGTGAGGAGAAAGTCAAGGGGACGGGTCCGGGGATGCATGATACGGAAAATGAGCATTATGAGATGCAGATCAAGATAAATTGTGTTATGCGCTCGACGGTTGATGCGTCGTCGGGGATTGTGAAGGATAAGACGCCCTCGGGGCCTATTGATGTTGCTGTGGAGGTGGAGAAGTGGAAGGCTGAGTTTGGGGATGAGGCGGCGCAGCTATTGCACGAGGCGGTTTTGGAGTCGCTGCCGGATTATGAGTATCTTAAGGAGCGGAGGATTGTTGTATAGACTTAGTTAACTATGAATGGTAATTGATTCTTGTTTCTCTGTCCTACAGTGTTACTCCTCCCATCCTTTCAACCATGGCACATTAACAGATCCCGAATGAATTTGCTTCGACTAGCAGGAGGCCGGTAGTTATTGTAGATAATACTATAGTTACTACCGCGGCTACTTTTAGGGAACAAAAGTAGCTAGCTAAGTGTGATTATAATATCTACTACTAAAATAATCTTCCGTGTACCAGAAGTATTAACTCTCTTCCGGTATAGCCCTCGTCACTACTATGCTACCAGGCAAACTAATATGCGTTTCAAGAAGCATCCCTCATAATAACGTCCCCATCAGCATCATGTGTACGAACATTGCAATCTGGTCGACCTCTGATAGATCTCCGAAAGTTGATGGAATTGGGCCGAGTCGCTCTTCTCTGTCCGAACGGTTTATAAGGGGGCCGGGTCGATACGGAAGTGTCACAACCTTTGTCAAAATGGCAGTCTCCGATCTGATTCGCCTGGACATGGCCCTCCTGAACTTGAACTGAAGACCCGAAGGCGACGGCCCAGGAACTCACAATATTAGCATCGATGGATTGCTGGTGCTGGTTCTGCTGCCCGGAGGTCGTTGACGCGCCTTGGACTGACCCGTTTCCTGAGGACCGTTGGAACGCGTTGGACAGGCTTATGTCCCTGACGAGATCGTTGACGTGATGCGGATCCTGACTCTGGCGTTGCTGGTTTCTCAAGATAGTTGGCACAAAGATGTCCTTGTCGCTGTCGCTGGAGGTATCAGGTTCGGTGTCACCCCTGTTTACCGACGTTTCTGTGTCTTTCTGACTGCTTAGCCAGCAAGCACTAGCCGCAAAGGAGTTTGAGGAGCCTGTCATGACGTTTTCAGTTGAGACTATTCTGCAACTACGTCGAGTTAGCGAGAGTCAGAGGGTTCGAGGTTTCAATCACCTTAGATTACGTCCACATCATCTTGAGGAGCAATACTATGCCAGAAGAAGTCTCGGGATTAGGCCTTGTGGGTAGTTCTACAGGGTAGCTCTGTGAGCGCCAAAAAGGATAGGACGCTTTGTGAGTATGCAAAGCATATCGCATTCACTGCTGTTACTTCACTGAATCCCTTCAGGATTGAACTACTGTGGTTCTAGCCTGCCATATTCCGGCAAGTGGAGCGAACTCGAGTTGCCATCTTATACTCTCTCGCCAGGACGTTTGATCAAAATCATTTCGGCACTATCCACTGGCTGGGCTCGCAGTTTGCACGCTAGAGGTGAGTCTTTGCCTTAGTGGTTTACTAGCCAGCGATGGTAGATCACTCGATTTCCGGGGCTCGGAATCTTTCTCCACTCGCTAAATTTTGCGTCATGGATAAGGTTGGATGGCATGCCGTCCAACCCACCACCTGCCTTGGAAAGTCGACAGTCTTGAGATTGGCCTGATATGACACAAAGCTGCATCTATTTATCGTCACCACAGCAGGACAATTGTGACAGTCACACATATGACTAAGCTACATTATGCGGAGACTAGGCCTGAAACAGACCAGACGAGGGCTACTCAGTCCCGTAAACGGTGGCATCACGTGCCCACACAGATCCGGACTGAGGTTCTTCCCGTCGTTCCAGAAAAACCTTGAACGATCGACAAAGTCAATTGTCAGTTCGCCACGCAGGGGACAATGAGTCGGGGAAGTTTACCGCTCAGAACTTCAGAGTTCAGTATGTCTTTCACTTCCCCAGGACAGCCAAGACATGTCTGCCAGAGCCCCAGATGCCCAGGAATTGCCTCCCTCAAGTTCTGCGGAGGCGCTGCCAGTATCACAGCATTCTGTGACTAATTGCCATCGCCAACTGCGACTCAATCACACCGTGCAAGTGGGGTTCTTTGCCGCGTGTCCAACCAAAGAATTGCCTCGAGACGGGTGGAGAAGCACGAACAAGTGGTGCGAACGTGGTTCCCGATGTCGCGATGCAGGTACCCAGCGGCGAATAAAACATTTTTCTCCGCGCGTGGCCGAGTGTGGCGAGCTGTCGTTGTCGCCTACAAGAACTCTGGGGTGAACCTCTTTTCTCGGTGTGTCATCACTCCTACACCTCTGCATCTTACCCGCCAAGATGCACCAGTCCACCACTGTCACCATGGAGGACGAGAAAATCCGCCAGTACGGATACGGTGGTCCTCAGGTGGTCAACTACGACGATGAAGCTCCCCCGCTCAAGGGTGAGCTGGAGCTCAACGTCGGTGGCCGTGGTGCTACCCAACGGCGGCTGAAAAACTACCAGGTCAGCATGATCGGGTTCTGTGGTGGCATTGGAACCGGTCTGTTCGTGGGAACAGGTTCTGCATATGCAGACGCAGGTCCCGCTGGCTTGCTGCTGGCCTACATCGTCATTGGATTTGTGCTGTGGTGTGTGATGCAGAGTATCGCGGAATTGGCTACCTTGCTGCCCACAGCGGGATCGTTCCCTCACTGGGCTACTCGTTTCATCGATCCGGCTGTCGGCTTCTCCCTTGCTATCACATACGGTTATTGTTATACAATCGCGATTGCTTCAGAAGTATCCGCTTCTGCGGTCATTGTTAGTTATTGGACAGACATAACACCAGCGGTGGTCATTACGGTCGGGCTGGTGCTGATTTTGGCTATCAACCTGATGAGCGTACGCTTTTATGGTGAAAGTGAGGTCATCGCAGGCGCTATCAAGGTCTTGTGCTTTGTCGGATTGGTTTTTGTCGCTATCGTCATCACCTCTGGTGGCGGTCCCAATCACCAAACCATCGGATTCCGCTACTGGCACAATCCGGGAGCCTGGACCAACTACAACGGCATCACTGGCCCGACCGGGCACTTCCTCGGATTCTTGTCTGCCTTTGTCAACGCGTCCTTCAGTTTCGTTGGTGTTGAAACAGTCGTCATCACTGCCGCCGAATCGGTCGACCCGCACTACTCCATCCCCAAAGCTGCCCGTCGCGTGACATACCGTATTGCATTCTTCTACATCCTCGGTGCACTCCTCATCGGACTCATCGTCAGCCCTACAAACAAAGACTTGGTTTCTGGTTCCGGCAATGCTAACAGCTCTCCTTGGGTCATTGCCATCAAGCAAGCCGGAATTAGCGCTCTGCCGTCTATCGTCAACGCCTGTATTCTTATTTCGGCTTGGTCTGCAGGCAATTCCTATTGCTGGGTAGGATCGCGCATGATCGTGGCCATGACGACCGACCGCCAGTTGCCGCAGGTGTTTGGCCGGGTTAACAAGATGGGCGTGCCATACGTTGCCGTCATCACCTCCTGGCTTTTTGGCCCGTTGGCATATCTGAGTAAGTAAGCCCGATTTTATTGTGTCGGACTCCGATTAACGGTTGCTATAGGTCTTGGCTCCGGTGGTCCGGCGCAGGCTTTCGACTGGCTTCTCAATCTGAGCACCATTGCTGGACTAATCGCGTGGGCGACACTGTCCTTCTGTTACATTCGCTTCTATTCCGCCATGAAAGCGCAGGGCGTCAGTCGCGACACTTTGCCCTGGAAGTCGCCCTTCCAGCCATACACGGCGTGGGTGGGTTTCATTGGCTCAACGATCATCACCCTGGTGGCGGGTTTCCCCGTTTTCCTTAAGGGTAACTGGTCCACCTCGGACTTTTTCGCCTCGTATGTGGGCATTCCTATCTTTATCGTGCCGATTATCCTCTGGAAGGTTTTCAACCGCACGAAGGTAAGCAGCCCCGTCTTCATCTGGTGTCGAGTGGTGTAGCTAACTGGTGGTGCAGTTTCAGCGCAGCTCCACCATCGACCTCTGGTCCGGTCGACTGCAGGAGGGCGAGATTGTTATTCGAGAGGGCGGGCCCAAGACCCGTGTGAGACGCTTCGTGGACTGGTTCTTCTAAGTGTGGACTGGTTCCAAATTCAACTTTTTCTGTGCATTTGTGCATCTTTCGGCGGAGATACCCATTATGTTTTTCATGCAATTTCAACAATTTGCAAGCCGTCACAAAAGTGTTAGACTTTTTTCTATATACATATTATACATGTTTAATTTACTCCGGGCGGAGCTGTTCGCGAAGCCTCTTGATATCATTGAACGAAGCCTTGCAGCAACCGCCAACGAGGATCGAGCTGAACTGGCCAGTGGCGGCCGCGTCATTGACCACCTGTGACAATTGCACTTCCCAGGGTCGCTGTCATAATCCCTGCAGTCAGCACATACCATCAAGAATCATAAACAATAATCAAAGCATCACTTACCGAATCATCCGCACCACTCTTATCCTGCACCTTCTCCCACGTCTGCGTAGTAGTATTATAAACCTCTCCCTGCGTACCATCAGGATACAGCACCAACGCCGGCCTCTCCTGAATCCTCCCCTCCCTCAGCAACCTCTCCACCGCATCCCCAAACAACCCAACCAACCGGGGCAACTTATGAAGTTTCGTACAATTAATCCCAATCCCCCACGGCGTCGCACCCCCCTCAACCGGCAACAACATCGCCTCGACCACCTCATCAACAGTACTCCCATCAGGCAAGGTATCCTTATCCTCGACCGGGAAAACACACGCCACCCAAAACGGCAACCCCTCACAAAACCCCTTCGAAGACCCCACAGCCCTCCTCACAGCCCTCACCTCATCAATCCTCGGCACCGTCTCCATCGCAATATACTTAACCCTCTCCCGCAACCCCTTCCCCTCCATGGCCTCATCATCATCAAAAAGCCCCAACCGATCCGTATGCCACCTCCACAGTTTCTCCTCATTATCATGCTCCCCATCATACTTCCCGCTATACTCCTGTCCGGGGATCATGCACGCGCCATAGGGGCCCAGACTCAGCGCCACAGAGGCAGAGGTATCCTGCACCGCTTGTCCGGCGACGTCGAGCGCGGTGCGTAGGTAGGGGGCGATACTGGCGCGGGGAATTCCCGACGGGTGCGAGGGGGTTTTTGTGCGCTGGAAACCCTCCGGCGAGACTTGGTAGGTGGCGGTGAGGAGGACGTCGACGGCGGCGGTGGTGGTGAAGTCGCGTTGGCAGGAAAGGAGGGTTTTAGGGTCGGAGATCATTAGATGGGAGGACCAGAGAGGGGTGGTGTCGCTGCTGAAGGTGATGTTGTAGTGGTCTTGCAGGGAGGTGCCGAGACCGCCGTCGAGGATTAGGATAGGTGTTGGTGGCATTTTGAGGTGGATTTGTTGATTGATTGATTGATTGATTGGTTACAAAGATGGAGTGTTGAGGGTGAAAGAGGAGAGAGAATATTTCTTCAGGTTCTGGTGGTATTGCGACAACGGGAATGGAATGGGCTTTGGCTGCCCCGCAATGTGGGGTTGTTTGCGTAGGTTGCAATTTGCGATCGGGTTGGGATGGACTAAGTCTATCGGAGTATCATCATAATTTACATGATTGTTGCTGTGTGATGATAGTTTGCAGTATATTCAAGTGTAAAATTTAATGTCTAAGGATACTGGTGTTGTGGATTGGTTGGAATTGTGCATGGATTTCTTCATGGTGGTTGAGATCACGGGACGTCATTGACTGACTATTAGACATTCCAGCCAAGCCATTCCGCTCTGTTCTAGAAGCTCAGTCGCACTTTTGACAGGCGGATTCGCTGTCCTCTTATGCCCCGGGCGGAAATTGTACAGAGTCAACCCTTGGACTTCATTCATCGAATCTATTCCATCGGCGTCCTTGGTGTTCTAATGCTAATAATGTCTCAGACCATCACATCACTTCCTCGTGAACCTTCGCGACCATACACCATCCACAACAACCGTCACAATGTAAAAACACCAATACTCTCTCAGTTGACCGCATAGTCTAGGCAGCTATTTCCTACTCTTCAAAACATTGCATCGACAAGAAAAGATCTCCATAATAGAACACTGCACACTGCCGATCCATAAACTATGATGCGAGCGGTGTGCCATGACTGTGACAGGCACCAGCATCATCACAGCTAAGCCATCATTCTATTTATGCACTCCAAGTTAATGAAGCGCAGTAGACTAAGGTACTCCGTAAATACCTCGGCAAACCCACGAGTGGATAACAAGAAAGGAACTTACAGGCAAGATAGTATCCACGTAGGATGATCATCTGAGGCTTATTCCTCGCACCAATCAAGCTGTCACCAGTGGAAATTGATTGATAGGCAGAGCCGTTTCTCATACGCTAGGGAATAGAATAGAATACTGTTCGTAATTCTATGTTAGGTTACTGTACAACATAGGATGACATCCATGTCAAATCTGCGACCGTCCCTGTTTAGATTGTGGCTTTGATCAATAGTCCCCTCCGCCGTCATGTCGCACCCTGATACACAGCCCCAGCCACAATGTTCCACCTAGAGTGATCTATTAGATTAGATGCATGGGATGGTCACATACTCCGCGGAGCTAATAACAAGCCACTTTGACGACTAGCACTGTCACGGCGGCTAACTCCTCCATCGAGGATACCACTCACTACCACTCACAGGTTCAACCAGGAACAGTCAACCAATGACAACAAATGGAAAAGCGAAACTCCCTCACACAATACGTACATAGCATCGACTAGTAGACCCTGCAGAGTTTTACAGTGATAGACAGAAGAAAGACAGACAATACTCGCAATCCGATGCAAGGGACCATGGAAAACAATCGGTCGGCCCAACGGTCTAACAAAACCAGACCCTGCTGCTCCATACTGTCAATGAATAACTGCCGCAGTATCTTTATCCCGGGCCAATCTAACTCGGTAATAGTGTCCGGTAGGTAACCAGGGAATAATGGAAATCGGTACGCAGCAAAAAAACGAGAATGAGGTTGCCTAGGACCATTTAGGCGATAGTGCTAAGAATAGATCAGCATTGGCACAGCCCCATTGGCCCAGCATCCAAGCAAAGCTTAGGTAAAGCTTGGAGAAACTGCCCTGTTGTATTGTAATGTCTGTGTAATGGGATTGCTCGTATTCTGGTCTTTTGACAAGAACAGAGCAGAAGCAACGCGGCGTTTTTCGACTGACCAAATTTGAGTCGGGCGACGGGTGCGAAAGCAGTATGGTTAGTTGCCGATCCGCGAATTCTAGGTTTGCGGGAGACATGAAAGTTACGGGACTATTGAAGTTGAATGGTCTTGGATGATACCATGGTGATACCTACCTACTTACTTACCTATCAGATGGACATTACAGAGTTCATAGTAAGCGAAGTAAGTAGTAAGCATCATACCTGGTTAATCACCGAGAAAGAAAGAAAGAAAGAGAAGACTGACACAGACATCATCCTCCCTCCTCACCTGGATCTCTGCATGAACCGCGCGTCTATAACACCTCCCAATTATAGACAAGCATTCAAGTTTCATCAACCACAACACAGCACAGCCCAGCCAACCCAGCCACGGCAAACCCGGCACAACACAACACACCATCTTCTTCGACAAGACAGCCAAGAAATCATGGGTTGATCCGGCGAATCCCATGACAAACAAGTCGGCCGTGCCAAGAAATTACTAGCCGGCAGGGCTGAGCGGGAGGTTGACGTGGACCATCTCGTGGCTGTGAGTGGCTGAATTCAAACCAACCTCCCCGCTTTCTCAGCATGAAGCATACGGATTCTTTCTGTTTTTGTGTCTTCTTCGCTAGCCCCACCCGTATCATTACACTCTTAATACAGTAACGCTTACTTTACTTACACCCTGACCCACACGGAATGAATCGCCTAGTCGTGGACCCCTGATCCAGAGAAATTGTAAGTACTGTTACTATGGCGGATGGATCCGATCATCGTTTTTTAAAACATAAATAGCGGGTGTTGCTCCTCGCTTTCATTTATTTTGTTACAACTGTCTACTACCTACTACTACTATCTACTTAGATACTTATCTATCTCTACCCTCACCTATCCACAAACACACACTCTACACTACTCTACATCAATCAAAATGGTTTTCAACTGGTTCAAGTCTTCCAAGGAGGAATCCACCTCTACTCAACAACCCTCCTGGGACGCCAACACCATGACCATGCAGCAGCCTTCTAGCCCTGAGGCTCCTTCCACTGAGCGCGTTGTTACGCAGCAGCCTGTACGATATCCCTTTCTCCAACAAAACATCAAATAACATAGATAAAAACTAACGAGTATTTCTAGAACACCCAGGAAGAAATGAAGATGGGTCTGCGTGGTGGTGGTGCCGGTGATGTGTGCTGCGGAGTGTATGTTCATTCATCCCTTCCTTCCTTCCTTCAACCCATTATAACAGCGATGCTGATTTTGATTGTTGTCTAGTTGCGCTGGTCTTCTCTGCTTCGAGTGCTGCGAGGAGTGCTGCTAAACGCACACACCTTCTTCCCGCTCATACATACGTTCGACTACTGTCTCCGTATCTTGATGAACAAAGATAAAAAGGAAAAAAAGAATAATAAGGAAACGGACATGTGCTGCCCATCTATGAGACGAGCTATGAATTGCGGATCTGGATGAATGTTGGGTCGACGATTCCATGGATCTGGATGATGGATGGATGATGGTTGGTGTTTCAGTTGGTTTTGGATTTGCCCTTGCGAGATCGCTTATACCCGGTGTTTCTATCACATCTACTATTTCTCTATTTTCGCTTGGTTCTAGAAATGAATTGAGTTAAGATGATTGCTTGTTTGATGGTTGGTCAGTGCGCTGTAGATTAAACTTGGATTTGAGCTATTATCAGATGGCAGTATTGTCGCGCGCTAACTCTGCTTTGCGAATATTGTAAGTCCGACTTTGCGAATGATTAGTCCATCAAAGTACGCTGCTCTTTCTCATATGTCACTTGCTTCGGACCCATCGTGCCAGGCCCGTACTCCACGCTACCATCTGCGAACAGACCAACTGACCTGACCAGTCCCCCGCTAATGTCGTTGATGACCTGGCTGAACTGAAGCCCCCGGTTCACCTTGCATCGAGTACTGGCCGACTCGCAATGAGCCACCAAGGCAGCCGCCGTTCGAAAGATGCGAAGACATCCAGGGCACCTAATAAGTCGTGAGTCAGACCATAGTCAACCATCATCCAAGCATGCAGCAGCTTACTGAATGCCTCTGTTCTGGTTGGTCTTCGTTACGACATGCTCCTCAAAGTCTCTCATGCTGGAGAATTCAGCCTTACAGGGACAGATAAACTTTCCGTTGAAGGAACTGAAGTATACGGTGGGGTCCCAGTTCCGGTCCAGCGCCCGAAGAGTGTGTCCTGCGTCAATGTGGTCAATGCCGAAGGAGTTGCTTGGGCCTGGGCGTGGGCTCGTTGGCCTCGCGATTTTTCCGGCCGATGCTGATTGTTCTCTCGTCTCGCTCACCAAAGACGGAGAAGCCATCGACGACTTGCTCTTCGGTTCCGGGACGTTGTCGTCAAGAGAGAGACCGCTCACCCCGCCCACAACAGATTGAGTGGCCTCGTCGTCAGGGTCCATCTCCAAAAGGTCCTGATCAATATGGACTCCGCCGTTGTCATCTTGGCCATCGGGTTCAGCGTTCTCACCCTCGTTACCTGTCCTAAGCGCCTCTCGAAAGAGAAGTCTCTTAGACTGTTCCTGTAGGAGACTAGACAAGGGGATGTTTGGACAATCGCCGCTCTCGACGTGATTTACCATGGCACCTGCCATTTTGAACTTCTGCCCGCAGCCGTAACAGGTCAGAGTCTGCGGAGTTCTGTGTTGCTGTAGAGACATCAAAAGAATTAGCTTGGAATGATGTGACGGGTCAACAAATGCCAATATGAAGGATACCCACCTGACGGGTATGAAGGTCTCTACCACCCTCGCTGCGAAAATCGATCCCACAAACTACACACACGATGTGCTTGTCACTCTTGATCTTGTGGAGCAGGAGATACTCATCATCCTGGAAATCCTCGTCGCAACGGCTGCAATAATCGTGTTCGTTCGCCTTGTGCCTCTTCATCTCCCCTGCCGATTCAAAGACACCGCTGCACTCCTTGTAGGTGCAGGGCACCCTGGTGGAAAATGCTTGAGTGGACATCTTGAACTCGTCAAGTAACTTGTCAAGTAGATGTGGATGGAGTGTTTGAATGGTAGAAGGGGGAGTAGACTTAGTTTTGAACAGGGGAGTTAGAAGAGTGCGCTGGTCAAATTCTGCGAAATTCACCGAAATGGCTATGAATGAGAGTCACCCTAGACGACACCTGCCTAAATAGGAAGGCATGCACTCGCTGCTGGGAAGCGTTTCATATTTCAAGATCTACGGGACGTTTCACATATCGCATGTAATGAGGTGGCATTGAAGTAGGAATGAACTAAGCAAATTCATTACTTCTCTCTCACTTTGTACCTACAGCCAGTCAATACAGGCCCACTAGCCACATGTTAAGACGATTTAGAGAAGTGATTCATTATCCAGTCATTTACAGAACACTATATATATGCATTCACCAAACCCGATCTCCTGCACTGCACATTTAAAACCGTGAGAAGGGCAGCCTAACAAAGTCAGTATTTCACCAGCGAAGCGACCATCAATCATCCAAAACCACTTACCACTTTCCACGCAGAGTAATCACCGCCCAGTTATTTCCATCCGCATCCGTCTCCTTCTCCACCTTAGTCGAGAAAGAGATAGCGCTCATGATACCATCACCGAACTTCTCATTCAGCACCGCCTTGTATGCGTACCCGTAGTTCTGCACAATCTCATACAACCGGTAAATCAAGGGCTCCTTGGGAGGCATCTCCACGGTGCGACCACGGTCGGGGAAACCACTAAGCCTTTCCTCCAGAGCATCGTAAGGGATGGTGAGGAGCGATGCGAGTTTCTCGATGTCTTCCGGGGAAGCCTTGGCCTGGCCATAGAAGATAGCAGCGGTAGCGACTTCATTGCGGCCAATGTGTTGGGCAATCTGCTCGAAGCTCAGCTTCTTGGCGGCTTTGGCCTTGAAGAGGGTCTCCGACGCGGACGGGAGGTTAGGATGCTGGGCAGTCTGTTATTCGAGGGTGATGAGCTCATGCTTTCTTCCTATTCTCGGCATCATGAATTGGAGGGAGGGCTTACGTCAAGAGTGGCGAGAGACATTGTGTCGGTAGGATGCTGGGACTGAAACGGCGATGGAGAAGAGTTGATGAGATTGAATTGAAGTAGGGGAAGACGGGATTCTAAAAGCCAGCTGCCAAGGTCAAGTAAATGGAGATGGAGGGGTGTCATTCTTAAATAATCGGCGGTGATCCGCTTTTCTCCAACTGTCGTGCGGGGTACTTGCCGTCTCGTTGCAACGGTGGGGAGCTCATTCTTGTGAGGGGGAATATCAACAATGCCATTGCTTCCGTATGATTTATCTGTGTCATCTTTGAACCTTTCCGTGAAGTATCACAACTTTAGACTACTGGTAGGTGGCAACATTGGCAGCACCCTTAATAAAGCTATTGGTGGTTATCGCTGTCCTCCTGCTGCCGTGAAAACGTCACACCTGCATCTCAGATAAGATACTGCGGGGTTCCGCCGAGGTCGGATCGACACCCAACTGCCTGGCAGCTACTTTGACATCTGTCAGATATTTAGTCTAGCTAAACAGATATAAGGGCTCAATCATTTATATAAATGAGAAAAAGAGATCGGAATAATGTTTTCATTTCTACGTAAGAAATTCTTTTTCAGTTTCGATTTAATTTCTTTCTTGTCAATCATCTATTTCTGCCTTGTTGATATCCTTCTCTTCCGTGCTGGCATGAAGCTCTGTGGGCGTTGTTATCTTATCATGAAGATTACTGAGAATAACTACATACATGGATATATCTCATAACATGCTGTTTGATGCATGCTATTTCCTCCGTCCCTTTTTCTGATATCAAACATGCCCAATACCAAGCAACGGTCCAAACCAACCCCCCATCAACTCCTCCATCGTAAACTCGAAATCCAACCCAAACAAATTCGGATCAGCCTGAACCCCCTGATCCATATTCTGATTCTGCACGGCAAACTGCAAAGACTCATTCTCAACACTCACACTCTTCGCCGCCTCCAACTGAGCAACCTGATACGCCTTATCAAACCACGTCGCAGCAGCCAGAGTCCACTTATGATAATGCGAAAATACCCCATCCTTACACGTCTTCGCAATTGCGTCGAGACGAGCCACAAAGAATTGGAGCATCTTCGACATATCAAGCGCGTCACGAAGCTCTTGTACCTGTGTATTAAGGCGGAGTGAAGGGTGCAAAGCTGCCAGAACTAGTTTGCATGCGGCGGCAACCAAAAAGCCCGATGATAGCCAGATCACGATGCTGTAGTTCTTTTCTATTATTGGTGGTAATGTGAGGTAGTAGTCGAGGAATCTCTTTGAGGCTGCTAGTCCGTGGCAAAGGGTGTCGCTGCGGGAGACTAGGAGAAAGCTGTCGGATGGTGTGGATGCTGCTTTAGTGTCTATGAGACTTATTTGACATATCTGGAGTTCGAGGGTGTGGTATTGTGTTGCGATGAATGCTGTGCAGAAGGAGTGTATTAGCATCGTCATGATGTACCTCGCTCAAGTGCATGTCTAATGGGGAGGGACTCAGTAAGATACTGAAATACTCACGGTCACAGGTTGGATCAACAGGTAATTGGTTCTTATACTGTTCAACCTCTGCTCTAAATGCTCGGATATGTTGCTCCACGTCCGGATGGCGTTCAATACTACTCATAGTAAGAGCATCCAACCTCTGCAGCATATGCTGTAACTGGACGTAATAGATTATATACCGATCAGTAGGATATTCGGCCACCCGAGACAATTCTTCAGCTATTGACTCTATGAACGGTGTCCAGGGCGTTGTGCAAGTCTTTTGTCTGATAATAGCATCACTGATGAAAAGTGTAAGTATGAGTCTCGTTTCCCTTGAAGATCTTCACTTACGTGGAGTTGAGTAGGAATAACCCTATTAAGGCCCGACCTTCATCGGCGACTGTCCCTTTTCTTGTTTTATCGCATTCGTCACCCACCTCAAGCCGTGTGGCGACTCTGTACTTCGGATGTCGATCGAGTCGTTCGTTGATTACTACACCAACGGCAAGCTGCATGTAATACGGAAATTGACATAGCTGATGCCTCTGGCGTGTTCTATTTGATAATTAGTATGTCTTTCTCTAGTGGCGAAGTCAAGAGCAAAATCTTAAGGCCATACATACCCAGCTAAGATGATCAATAGTCCCTGCAGAATCTCGAAAGAAGGCGGGTGGCTGCCATGCTCTGAGCAAAGGACCTCATTTGATACATAGGATTGCAGAACTTTTTCTAGTGACTTTTGCAACGAGTCGTCGTGGAATGAACAAAAGACCAGAATACAGAGAAGGACGAATGGCTTCTCGGCTCTTAGGTCGTCGACCGTGGTGCTTGCGGGCACCATGACAAATGGGAAGAACAGCATGGCTTCCCGGTACTGATCTAAGAGCTGAGTTGCGTATTCATGGCTGATCAGACCAGTTCTGATTACATCGATAGTATCGGCGTGTGGGTAGGTACTGCTGACTTCACTATTTGGGGTGTGATATTGATGCTCCGGACGTCGTGGGGTGACGAGGTTGATCTGGCCCATTATTTGATCAATTTTAGCTTCAAGCATTTCTATGCGCTTGTTGCTTTAATTGAATTAGTTGATCTGTTTGCGACTTATTGTTTCTAAGCGTTACCTTCTGCGCTTCTTTGGAGCGGGTCGCTGCCGTGCCGGTCGGAAGTAACATTCTTTCTTCAAGCGATGGCAGCTATTATACCGAATTGCATACCACGTTAGATACTGTATACATGTAGTTTTTCATTATCAGAAGGATAAGTGTTTACTGACCGATCGCATATCGTAGCATCTGGCGCATGCGTACATCGTATCTTGGCCCGGACGCAGTTCTCACAGGTCTTGACTCTTTCTGTTTCAGTTTCCTCAACCATACTGAAGAAGATAGGGCTTAGTAACTATATGATCTATCTGATCTTGTAGAAACGGACACGGACTGGAGGTCAAACACGGACGGGAGTACATTTAAGAAGCGTCAGTCCGTCGGACACGGATACCATATCTGTCTGGCTTATCCGGCGGACCAAAATTGACATCCGACTCCGTGTCTGCTAAGCCAATCATGTCAATCAGGGAGCCTAATTTGGGGCCGCCAAGATCACAAACTGAGGTTTCTCGTGTCGATAATCCCTCCCAGTGCGTAATCCTGGGCTAAACAAGAAAAATGAGGATTTTGCATAGCCCTATCCGTTAAAATAGATCAGGCATTCGGGTTTCAGGAGAGATATCAGACATATAAGATGGAGAATAGGCTCAAACGTGTGAACTTGAAGTATACAGATCGATAACAATATCACGATCAAATATCCTTTGTACATTATGTCTTCAACTGACGATTGTACCTTGTCAACATGTCCGCTCAGCATGGCATATATCGATTACCTGCCTAATCTTCCCGCAAATGTGTTTTTCGTGGCCTTTTTCGGCCTCATAACCGTTCTTCAGTTTGGTTTGGGGGTATGGTATCGAACATGGACTTTTATGATTGCCATGCTGCCGGGTCTTATTCTCGAGGTTCTGGGATACGTGGGGCGAATTATGCTACATGATAATCCTTTTGACTTTAACAACTTCCTTCTGTGAGTGGTTGCATATGTTTTATGCCTCAATCATGAGCCTCAACTGATCAACGTCCAAATCTAAAGGTACCTTATTTGTTTGACTCTTGGACCCGCATTCTTCAGTGCCGCTATCTACATCTGCCTGGGAAAAATAGTTGTTATCTACGGAGAGGGCATTTCTCGATTCCGACCCCGAACATACACAAGACTCTTCGTCTCCTGTGACCTGCTATCCTTGATTCTCCAAGCAGTCGGTGGTGCCCTCGCTTCCTCCGCTGGTGACGGCGACACGAGCGAAAGCGATACTGGTGTCAACATCATGATTGCGGGATTGGCTTTCCAGGTCTTCTCCCTGCTCGTATTCATGGTCCTTGCTAGCGAATTCGCTTACCGGGTCCGCAAAAGCCCCAAGTCAGAGAATGATGACTTTACTAGCCTTCGCATGAGCCCCAAATGGAAGATGTTCCTTTACTGTATGTTGACCTTTGTCTGATTCACTTATACGCATGCTAATCACATGTGCATCTATCAGGTCTCGCTCTTGCCACTATTACTATCTTTATTCGATCGGTCTTCCGTGTTGCGGAGTTGCAGGGTGGATTTTCCAGTGCCCTGGCCAATAATGAAACCGACTTGATGGTGTTGGAAAGTACCATGATCTCGATTGCGTGCATTTCTTTAACGGTGGCTCATCCGGCTATTATTGTCGGTCGCACTTGGGGTTCTCTTTAAGGGATTTTGATTGTTTTTACACATTGAGCTTTAGATCTAGACTCCTTCTAAGACCTGGAATGAAAGATCATAATCTTACGAACTTTAATGATGCTGTCTTTGGAGAGATTACAGAAGATAAGCCCAACTATCGTGGGGTATGAAAAGAAAAGCCTTCAAAATCTTGTTCCCATGTACACTGCTAATATATACAGCCATTCGATGTCTTAGCGGGATTGATCTGGGACCTCTGTGTTGTATGCATCATAAAATATAAGTCTCAGGCGAGCTGTGAAAAAATGATGGTGGTACGTTTCCAAAGTTGCATTCAGTATTCAGCAAATTTCTCAGTTTGTTGGGCAACATATATCCGAAATAATAGTTCTCTAATTCCAGTGTTGAATTTAGCATCAATTTCAGAAAGCCCCGCAGCAAACTGATAGTGTTAGTAACCAATCAACTGGTAGCATTGAAGTTAGTAACTACGTCCCAATCATCTTTAGATATGAACCAATATTACTAGTATTAGCTGGCTGTAAATCAGTTTGGACGTATCACGTGCCCAGCATGAATGTGGGGTTTATTCTTTCTCCGCAACTCCGCAACTCCGCTCCTTCTACTCCGGACAACCGTTGAAAACCATCCCTCGTGTCTGAGCATGCTCGAGGCACCATGGCGAGTCGACCTGAAATGAAGCGCGCCTCGGACTCAGAGACAGATCCACCACGTACGCGTCCTTGTCCTGCCTGCAACAAGACATTTTCAAAAGCCGAACATCTCACCCGGCATCTCCGCAGCCACACTAAAGAGAGGCCGTATGTGTGTACTACCTGCGGGAAGGTGTACTCCAGAAGGTATGAACACTGAACCTAAGCTACTGCCATGTGCACTGACACTTGGTAGTGATGTGCTGCGGAGACATCTCAAAAGCCACGAGAAGCACTCTCAAAATGCTTCACCGCAGCCCCGAGCTTCGATTTCAGGGACCCCATCCCGATCAGTGGCGGAAGAGTCGACGATAATCTCTACCCCATCTCATGCGGCACCAAGGATACATGAGCTACTCAATGATGCTTCATTAATAGTACCAGCCGTACCTGACCAACTAATTAGCAGTACCGAGCCACTACAACCCCAATCAGCGACAGGGATGAATTTGCATGACTCCGTACTACAGACAGATACCGATTCTTGGTTCCTTGGCGCAGACTTTGATGTAAATGCCTTGGACTTTTCCATATCATCGGCGATATCGGAATGGGCGCAACTGCCTTCCACACCACACATGTTAGGCTCTGTTGGCTTAGCAGAAGAGCCGCTGCATTCCGCACCAACGTCCTACGCAAAGGGGAACGGCGATGAATCGCATCCAGCGGACATTGTAAGGAAGAGATGGTTTACTTGCTTATCTCCGCCAGAGGTAAACCAATTCGTCTACAGAGGGCCCAATCGCCCCGGTGACTCGTTCCCTCAAGGGAGGATCGATGCCGATGACAACTATAGAGCTGGTCTCTCCCAGAGGTTGAAGCCTCGCATGCATGATGAAGCACTGCCATCCGCAGAGCAACTGAATCTCTTTGCGAAGCTCTTCTTTAGTCGATTTCACTCCCTGTTTCCGGTTATACATGCACCCACCTTTCGTCCGACCGCGGAAAATTCGTTGCTATTCTTATCAATCTGCTCAATAGGCAGCCTCTTTGTGGGGTCATCCCATGCAGTGGCGCAAGGCCTGAGGATATTTGAACGACTGAATAAAGCAATTCTGGCCTCCTGGGAGTCCATTCTTGCTCATAGCCGACCGGATGCCTTGTCGATGGTCCAAGCTGCCATTCTGGGCCAGACTTATGGAATTTTGTCCGGAAGGCCCAAGGACTTGGTCCTTGCGGATGTCCTTCATGGTACTGTAATGGGATGGACACGTGAGTCCAATAAATACGCTACTCTTGGACATGGACAGTTCCTCGATTCTTGTTCGACCGAACAAGAGGTGATCGAGCAGTGGCACCGATGGGCCGAGGCGGAACAGAGAAGACGGGTCGAAATCGCCTTAAATATACACGATGCGGAGCTTGCCAGCCTGATGCATCATGAACCGATCCGCAAGCATCGATTCACACAATATCCGCTGCTAGCCTCGGAACCAATGTTCATGGCTCCGACAGCCGCCCGATGGGCCAACATGTACAAGCAGTCACCATCATTTACTAAATTAACCCCCTCTCCCGACCTTCACTTTCACTCCGCCGGACATGATTCTAGGTTCGCTGTCTATAGTGTGCTGGAGAGTATCAACGCCCATGTCATTGAAGCTCGCCTCTCAGGCACCTTAAACAGGGATACATCTCGGAATCTATCTAGCCTACTGATGCATTGGTGGAGTAAGTATAGCTCACAATACATTCAAGATGAGGAAGAGGACCCTTTCAGTCTTCCTGTATTGTGGCACTCGATTTACATGTCTCTTTACAGCGACATGGACGTGCTTGAACGAGCAGTTGGTCGTAATGGGCACGCAGCAGCCACTGATTCTCACCACGCGGTTCAAGGGTGGGCAGGCTCCCTGGATGCCAGTAAGTGCCTAGTTCATGCGCTGTTGATACAGCGTTACCTCGAGAGGATGCGAATTTCCTCTGAACCCGCAATACATGTGCCAGGGGCTCTCTTTTCGGCTGCTCTCGCATGGCTCTGCTTCACGAGAATTGGACAACAGCAATCCATCAACTTGAAAGCTTTCGATGCACCAGAGATCCAGCTCCTGGGCAGTGAGACCGCGTTGCAAGAGGCCCAAGGGCAGGCATTCGGAGACTCTGCATTTGCAGATGTAAATCACTTACATCGACTGATTGATCTTTTGCACCGCTTTGGGCGCTGGACGATCTCGAAAACATTTGCCACTGTGCTATGCACGGCTCTGGAAGAAGTTAGAGAAGAATGACGTTCTTTAATTACGGATCCTATAGCAATACACTTATGCACGACCACTGGAGACAGCAAGTATCAATAAAGATGTGGCGGCAAAGAAAGCAAATCTGGTTCATGCCGAGGTCATTAGTGCAGGCTCCCCGCCGAAATGTGGGATGTGTTGCGGGGTGGCGGGGTGACCCCGTGGATCGACACACCGAAAGGGTTTGCAGACTGCTGACATGAGGATTATGAGAGCACTTACGAGATGGCCTGCATATTAAGCCCATTCAATTTGGCGCACTACACAATCGTTCCGCCAATGGTACTATTGATTATGGCATAACCGGTATGATCACTAGAAACCCCATACGTGCGCAGCAATGCAGGTGGACCTGGCTCACTCGGGTCGCCCATCGCTCGCTGTGTACCTTCTTCCCGCCTGTGGGGTATTGATGTGTGGGGTTTCTCCAGACAATGCCGCATTCAACAACCGAGTGAATATTCTCCCATGAGAGAATGTATATAGATCTACAAGCCTGCCGGATATAGTGTTTCAAGAGAGTTGATCCAATCAAGCACACATCGAAATGCCGGTATTTACAGAATTCGCATCCAAGTCGCGGGACCTCCGTGTCCTTCCTTCCTTTGCTCTTCCATTACCTCGACTTACTCCGCCGTTCGAACCCACCGTAAACGATGGAGTCGAACGCTACGAAGTTGTCATCGTTGGGGTAAGTCCCATCAAACAACGAATGTTGCCACTCAACATACACGAGCGAGTGTTAATAACGTCATGCAGGCTGGACCCTCGGGGCTGATGCTGGAACTTTTGCTGGCCAGATACGGCTTGAATGACGAATCTCTCCTTTGTATTGATTCGAAGCCAAGCACGTTGAAATCAGGACAGGCAGATGGCGTTCAACCTCGGACGTTGGAAGTATTTAAAACCTTGGGAATTTCCGACGAGATTGAGAACGAAGCATGTCAAATGTGGCAGTTTGCCTTTTGGAATACCTCATCAGACCCATCCAGAATCATTGAGCGGAAATCCGTGGTCCCCGAAGTGATACCCCCGGCTCGGTTTCGCTACGAGGCTACTATACATCAGGGACGCATTGAACGGATCATGGAGACTGACCTCCTCCGGTACTCCAAAAGAGGCGTGCAAAGGGACACCAAATTGATCCATGTCCAGCTGAATGAAGATGACAAGGAGTTCCCTGTCCTGGCAGAGATTGAGACACGCGGGGTAAGAAGATTGATCCGCACAAAACACCTCGTTGGAGCAGACGGAGCACACTCGATGGTACGTCAGTGTGTGGGACTAAAGCTGGAGGGTCAATCGCTCGACCATATCTGGGGCGTTATAGACTTGGTAGTGGATACGAATTTTCCTGACATTCGCCGGCGATGTGCAATCCATTCCCCAGCTGGCTCGGTGATGGTCATACCACGAGAACGGATCGTGACGGGTGAGTATCTTACGCGACTTTATGTCCAGGTACCCGGAATGGCAAACCCCGATGGAGATATAGTGGGAGCGGCTACCCCAGTTTCCGAATTCGATGATGCTAGGGCACGCAGACAGAAGGTGACGAAGGAGGGAATTCTGAAGCAAGCAGCAGACGCATTCAAGCCATATTACCTGAGGCCGAAAAGCGAGGAATCAATCGACTGGTGGGCAGCGTATCAAATTGGGCAGCGGGTCTCACCAGAATTCATTGTCAAAGACTCTACTGGAGTTCCTAGAGTATTCATTGTGGGAGATGGTACGTGCACTCTTCACTGAGGACTAGAATCACTTGCTGACGATCATAGCTTGCCATACTCATAGTCCAAAGGTACTATCTCGGAACTTTTTGTGAGACGCAGCTAATTGTTGTTTAGGCCGGCCAAGGAATGAATGTGTCCATGATGGATTCGTATAACCTGGCCTGGAAGCTGGCCTACCACATTCACGGACTCAGCCCATCGTCTACCGAGCCTGAACAGCCACATCCCCTCCTCGACACTTATCATCTGGAACGGCATGCGAACGCGCAGCAGCTGATTGATTTTGATCGCAAGTTCTCTACCATCTTCTCAGGTCAACTGGACACGGAGGAGTCAGGCATGTCGCACGCGGAATTTGTGGCCACATTCAACACCGGCAACGGCTTCACCAGCGGCTGCGGGGTGGAATACGGAGAGAGTATGATCGTTGACCGAACTGCATCGGAGGGACAGGATAGCCCCATCCGGGGCGACGACTACTTATCAGGAATACTGCGACCGGGCAGACGATTGCTGAACGTGAAGTTGAGGCGTCATGCGGATGGATGGCACCGGGATGTTCAGGACGGTTGGTATCATCATCCCTCCACCCCTTGCATATGCTAATCATGGCCACACGTTTAGACCTGGCATCCACGGGCCGGTTCCGCGTTCTAACGCTCACGTCTAATGATCTTCTGAACGCCCAAAGTGTGTCTGCTCGATCATTGCAGGATGTGTCTGCATTGCTGGGTACTTTCCCAGCAGGGGTCATCGAGCAGATAGTGGTGCACCCGCAGCTCCCGAGTGAGTTTGAATGGGACAGCCTTCCGAGGTGCGTGAAAGAACATGCGGAGATGCGCTTCTACAATGGAAGCGAGCTGGAGGATGCATATGAAATCTACGGGGTGGACCCTCATCAGGGAGCCATGGTGGTAGTCAGGCCCGACGGGTATGTTGGGATAGTTGTAGCGCTCGGGGAGGTGGATCGCGTGGGAGAGTACCTGCGTCGCTGCATCAGAACGAGGTAGAGATGGTTGATTACCACCATGTACATATCACCAGTCCAATGAGAGTATAGTTCGTCGAGCTGCAGTGGTCACGGTCCCTCGCCAGTTCAGCCCTGTTTTCCGAGATGTTCCGGGGGAACTATGATTGTCGGGATGCATGCATGGCTGATGATGGATGGGCAGCCGAGAGATCCGCCTGAGCCACAACATTACGGGCGGGGTGGGCATCACGTGTCTTTTTGTTAAATTTCAATACTCTCAATACACACGGTCTCTAGTTAGTTGTTAGTTGTTATGTGAGTCTGATAAAACTAACATCTTACTTACTCAGGAGGTATTAGTCCGGGCTTGACCGCCACAAAGTGAAACCCCTACTCCATCACACTAAGTAGACTAGTTGAAGACACTTGGCAGGACTGCACAGCCACATCAACGGCACAATTCGAGCCAAATGATTCCCCACTTCTAAGCCGGGCCAGCCTGCATCCCCGAATCAAACTAGACTGACTGACTTGACTAGTTTAACTTATGAGTTGGGATCGAGATCATCGTGGAAATGCAATGGAGGGGTTGCCCTATGTCTAGTGACCCCCAGGCAAAAGCAACAACCAGGGAAGTTCATCAGTCATTGGATTCCCCGGTCGGGATTATTCATAAAAACATAAAAATAATAAATTGCAGCCTAAATGTGGACTCCCTGGAGCACACAGCTGGAGTGAGAATGAATGAATGACTGACTGACTTGAGAGACTTCTTGGAGGGGCGGGGCTCGTCGTCAGTCCCGTCAGCCGCGCCCTCCATCATCCATAATCCATCTTTCTCTTCTGTCTGTCTGTCTCCACTGGGCTGATCCCCTCCTCTTCCCTCTTCCCTCTCTTCTCCCCTCCCCACTATTTTTACTACTAATAGCTCCTGTCTCGCCCCCTGGGTAGCTGCTAGTTTACCACCTCCAAAGTAATCCTCTGCGAGGATTCTCTGTTATACTACCTTTATTTTAAACCTCTTCTCTTCTTACCTTTTTGTTTTTGTGTCCCACTGTATCATGACCCGCCCCGAAGACGACCTGGCCTATGGCCAGTATTACCAGGGCTCCGCCCGGGGAGCCTCTTCCGGAGACTCCTCCAGGGGTCTGAGTGACACTTTCAAGAAGCTCAAGCAGACCTACAAGTCTCACCAGTCGCAACAAGGCTCTTCCCAGCAGACTCAACAGTCGCAGCAATCCCAGTCCGCCAGCTACTACAATGTATGTGAATGATGTTGCCTGTACCTGGTCACTTTGCCCGATCCCCGGTACTAACCGCCCCGTTCCTCTTCTCAGACTTCGAACCAGACCTACCAGTCCCAAGGTCCCTCCCAGTCCCAGCCACACCCTCCCTCTCAGCAGCAACAACAACCCCATCCGTCGAAACCCCAGAAGCAGGACAAATTCTCCGGCTTGTTTGGCAAGCTCGAGGAATTCGGCAATGAGGTGGCACAGAAACTGGGTACCGCCCTCGACCCCCAGGCCTATGCCGAGTACGGCGCACCAAAGCCGCAGACGGAGAACCGCTTCGGGAGCTTTGCATCCCCGCGTCAGGGTAACGAGGTCAAGTGGCACGTGGACGGCTGTGCCTACTTCTATGCGGTGTCCAAGGCATTGGAGAGTGCCAAGGAGTATATCTGGATTCTGGACTGTAGGTATCCCAGGGACCGCTGTGTTGGAGGGTATGAGGCTAACAAGGCATTTCAGGGTGGCTTTCTCCGGAACTGTACCTGAGACGTCCCCCGGCGAAGCACGAACAGTACCGGCTGGATCGGATGCTGTTGGCTGCGGCGCAGCGCGGAGTCCGGGTGAACATTATTGTGTACAAGGAGGTGACCCAGGCACTGACCCGTATGTTCCTTATGTCCTCTGCGTGAACCGGTAGCTGATTTGACTTGCAGTTTCCTCCCATCACACCAAGCACCATCTGGAAGACCTCCACGAAAATATTGCCGTATTCCGTCACCCCGATCATCTTCCCGACCGCCAGGAACTCGAGGCGTCCATCCACACGTCTCTCCAGAACCTGTCTCTCGATGCCGGAAACCTGGCCAAGATGTCTGAAGATGCCATCAAGGGCATCTACGGCATGCACGAGGATGTCATTCTCTACTGGGCTCACCACGAAAAGCTTTGCCTCATTGATGGCCGCATTGCCTTCATGGGCGGTCTGGATATGTGCTTTGGCCGTTGGGACACCAACCAGCATGAACTGGCGGACGTGCATGGCCAGGACCTGAACAAGATTGTCTTCCCTGGTCAGGACTACAACAATGCCAGAGTAAGCGACTTCCACGACGTTGCCCACTGGGAGCAGAACCAGCTGGACCGGAAGGACACTTCTCGCATGGGCTGGTCCGACATCTCGGTCAGCTTGCACGGCCCCGTCGTTGAAGATCTGAGGAAGCACTTCGTTCAGCGGTGGAACTTCATCTATGACTCCAAGTACCAGTCGCGCAACAACTCGAGATACGCCAGATTGTCCCTGTACGGCCGGCCCACCTCAGGCCCTCAGCAGCAAGGACCCCAACAGGGTGGTCAGGCTCAGAAGCCGCCTGCATCCCCTCAGCCTGGTGCTACTGGCCCTCCTGCACCCAGCTGGCAACAACAGGCTGCATCTCCCCAGCCTGGGGCGAACCCTGGTCCTCCCGCTCCCAGCTGGCAGCAACAGGCAGCTCCGTCGCAGAGTGCCCATGCACCCAGTACTAGCAGCTCTTCTACCCCAAGCTGGCAGCAGCAGCAGACCGGAGTTGCTACTACTCAGCCTCCCAGCAGTGCTAACCCCGCGACACCAACCTGGCAGCAGCAGCAGACCGGAGTTGCAGCTACTCAGCCTTCCAGCGCTGCTAACCCCGCGACACCAACCTGGCAGCAGCAGGCACCGGCACCCCAGGGTGGCTACCCTGTCAGTCACTCCCCCAACCCGAGCAGCCAAGAGAAGCCCAGCTGGCAACAACAGACTGCGCAGCCTGGCAGCTACAACCAACCCCCGGCGCAAATCACCGGTAGCCAGGAGAAACCTAGCTGGCAACAGCAGCCTGCACAGCCTACCGGCTACAACCAGCCCCAGACGCAAAGCACTGGCAGTCAAGAAAAGCCCAGCTGGCAACAGCAGAGTTCGGAGCCTCCCGCGTACTCGGCCCACCCGCAGCAGCACTACACATACAGTGGTGACTCCTTCCCTCCGCCCCCTCCTGGCCCTCCGCCAGCCCAGGGTTCTGCGCAGACGTCTTACCAGGCGTACAATCCGCAGCAGCAGCAGCAGCAGCAGCAGAGCCATACACCTACCCAAGCTCAGAGTCAAGGCCAGACTCAGTACTACCCACCTCCTCCGAGCCAGGAGATCCATCACTCGCAGACCCGCGGTATCCACGATGCATCGGGCGGTTATGGCGACTCTGAGAGGGGCTTCAACCCCCGCCGTCTGCGTGAGAACTTCATGGACTACGGCAACGTCCTGCGCGGCGAGTTGGCGGGCCAGATCCATCAGTACCAGGATCGTTTCTCCACTCATGGCCGTCAAGCCAGTCAGCCCCGTGGTAACATGACTTGCCAGATCGTGCGCAGCTGCTCGAAGTGGAGTAACGGCACTCCGACCGAACACTCCATTCAGGATGCGTACGCGGCGGTCATTCGCAACAGTCAGCACTTTATCTACATTGAGAACCAGTTCTTCATCACGGCGACTGGCGATGCCCAGAAGCCGGTGGAGAACAAGATTGGTGTTGCCATTGTGGAGCGTATTCTGCGCGCAGCCCGTGCTGGGGAGAAGTTCAAGATCATTGTCGTGATCCCCTCCGTTCCTTGCTTTGCCGGAGACTTGAGCGATGAGTCCACCCTTGGTACTCGCGCGATCATGGAGTTCCAGTACAACTGCATCAACCGTGGAGGTAGCAGCATCATGGAGATGATTGCCAAGGAGGGTTTCAACCCGATGGACTACATCCGGTTCTATAACCTGCGTAACTACGACCGCATCAATGTCAGTGGCCCGCTGATGCAGGCCGAACAGCAGAGCGGCGTCAATTACGAGGATGCCCGCAGGCAGCAGGATGTGGCGACCGGTGGCCCTGGTAGCTATGGTCCCGGTGCTCCTCGGGCAGCTTTCGACACTACCGCGCCTTACCAGCAGTACCAGCAGGCTGCCCAGCAGGTGGGCGGCAAGTCTGGCCAGTGGGATAGTGTGAGCAGCTGCTACATGCTCAATGGTCCGGACATTCGCAACGTCCCCTGGAATGGACCTCCGGAGGCTGAGATTGATGCGTTTGTCACGGAGGAGCTCTATGTCCACTCCAAGGTATGTTAGCATTCACATGGTATAAGTGCAGGACTAACAAAATGCAGGTAATGGTCGCCGACGACCGTGTTGCCATTGTCGGATCGGCTAACTTGAACGATCGCTCTCAACTGGGAACTCACGACTCGGAAATTGCCATCATCATTGAGGACTACACCCCTGTGCAGTCCCGCATGAACGGCCAGCCCTGGACTGCCAGCAGGTTCGCCGCCTCCCTTCGTCGCCAGCTCTTCCGCAAGCACTTGGGACTGCTGCCACCCCAGGACCCGGAGCGACCGGATGGCAACTTTGAGCCAGTGGGCGTTCCCAACACCACCGACTTTGAGTCACCCGAGAGCCAGGTCGTCGCGGATCCGCTGGCGGATACGCTGCACAGTATGTGGAACACGCGGGCTCGGACGAACACGGAAGTGTTCCGCAAGGTCTTCCATTCGGTTCCGGATGACACCGTGCGCAACTGGGCCACGTACAAGGAGTTCTACGGATACTACTTCCACAACGCGGACAAGCAGGCTTATGGCGAGGACGAGTCCAGACCTGCTCGCTACAAGTATGGGCACGTGGTCCGCGACGACTTCCCACCGGGTCCGGAGGGAGTCAGGCAAGTCAAAGAACTGCTCAGCCAGGTCAAGGGCACGTTGGTGGAGATGCCTTTGATGTTCCTGATTGAGGAGGATGTGGCGAAGGAGGGGTTGACGCTGAATGAGATTACGGAGCCAATCTACACTTGATTGACCTGATTTGACGAGATTAGCAGACTACCATTTATCATGCTTTGTTAGTTAGGGATTACTAGCCATGAATTATTCTTTGATTGAAGCGAATGAAGTGTGGTTGATGTTGATATTGTTCTCGAGAACAATACTAAGCGGGTGGTTCTGATTGGGTGCCACCGCCCGTCGACAAACTATGCACCGAAAATCTGGGGAATCCCGTTGCAGAACATGTTGTCTGCTCCAAAGATTCGTGTGCCCTGAAATGAAAGATGTCTTTCAGCTCTAGACTGAATATGTACCCACATGACTGCACTTGCCTACACAATGTACAACACTTCAATCTGCATTACATCCATTCCCGATGCAGACAGTCTATCTCAGCAGGTACCCGCGACAATCCGGTACCTTTCGTATTCATCCATTCCCGCCCTGGTTCTGATAGAGCTTCTGTCGGACTAACCTCAAGGAACAATAGAAGATAAGCTGAGCCATAGATAATATTGACTGGGACGCCCCAATAAAATATCTCCTGCATTGCCCGATAATCCGTCTAGACAATCTCCGATCGAATCAGCTACCTGCAATGGTATCTACACCTATCCTTAAAAGGATTTACCTTGTGACTTTGGTTCATTCATTCATGAATCCACATCCAATGGACCTCAATCCAATGAACTGCACCGCCTGAATCATGAACATGCAGATGAATCCGGATCCGAATGCTTTTTCCATAGCAGAGACACTGCCCCATACTATACATCAATGTAGACATCAAAGAAACCCCTCCCAAGGGCGAAGCAAGATAGAGTAAGAAAAAACATCTATATAAACCCCCTCAACCACCCCCCAAACCTCACCTTCTTCTTCTCCTCATCACAAAAACAAAACAAGCATTTCAAAAAGAAAACCTTTTGCAACGCAAATCACTATCAATCATCATGTCTCCCTACCAAGTTGCTAAGGACTCTGTCTCTTGCGGTATGCCTCATCCTCCCCTCCTCCTACTTCATCATCTGCTATGCACAGGAGAGGATAGAGCATCATATGCTAACATGAATATAATATAAATAGCCGGCTCCCCCGGTGGCGGCTGCGTGGTCATGTAAAGACCCACCGCGAAGAACCCACGAGATATAAACCCGAGTTTTTTTCCATCATCCATTCCATGCACGTCAGTCTTATGCAAAACTAAACCGCAAATCTGCAAATGTCAATCAAGAAATATTGAGGGATAGTCAATGCTCGCTCCGACTATCCCCACGCCTTCAAATCCAACATACCAGAAAAAAGGGACCCGTGACCGCTTATCTCGCTTACCCCTACCTACCTACCTACCTACCTCGCAAGTCAATTCGATATCAACACAAAAAAAATACCAAAAATAAAAACAAATAATGGGGGAGATATGCCCGTGAACTGCGTTGCGTTGCACGTGGCGCTGACACCCTTTTTACTTTCTTGCAATGAACGGATATTGAACCTCGAATTCCTGTCCTTGGTCTTATATTCCATCTTCCTTCCTTTCTTTCTTTTCCTCACTCACTCTCCACACGTTATTGGATAATATGATTATTGAGAACTGGATGGTCCCTTTTTTGGTATTTGGATTTGGATAGTTGGATTGGTGGTTTGGTTTTGTCTTTAATGGATGGGATTTACTCGGGAATGGTCATGTTTTCAACTTTACTTCAGTTTTCGGGATGGGAATTTTTTTTCGAGGGGATATTTTATATATTTTTTATAGAGTCAATATATTTATATTTGATTCTATAAGGATTTTCTTGGTTATTTACTTCGTAACTTTATATGTAGTAAGTAAGGGTGATAGGGGAGGAAGAGGAGGAGTGATCATGGAAGCAATCCCTCACGCAGTCCAGCAATCAACCGCCTCATCATCGGGTTCACTTCTCCCGTCATCTTCTCTACCTGCACCACCTCCTTCTCAATCTTATCTTCTATATCACGGAGAAGGTCCCTCGTGGCACTCAGTGCTCCGTACTCGCGGAGCAGAAGAACCAAGCAGCTATAGTTCACCGAGTTACCGCAGGGGTCTCGCTTCTCTTCCGCGCAGGAGCAGCCACCGCTCTTAGTTGTCTCCTTGCTGCCTTCGAAGAGGTATCGGGAGATCTGCGCCCGACTGTCCGGCTTGATATTGGCGAGGCGGATAACCGGGTACGAGAGGACGCGTGCATCGGTGGATTTGCTCAGTTGGGTGTCTCGGTTGTGGAACGAGAGATAGTCTTCCTTCACGTGGACGAAGCGAGCGAGCAAGGTAGCCAGGGGCGTGAGATCGGGTTTACAGTGGAATGGGAGACAGCTCTCAGCTTGGAGGAGTTTGACGAGGAGTGTATATAGAGAGCCGGTGGTGTCGTCGACGACGGAGAGATATTCGGCTTCGGATGGGATGCACGCGTTGTACTTCCAGTTCAGTTCTCGGCTGTGTCCGGCGTATAGACGGTTGAATCCATTCAGGAGGATATCTGTGGCGAGGGCAGGGTTGGCTAGGGCGCGTGCCTCCGATACCGACTGGATGAAGGTGTAGTAGGCGCTGTTGGTCGCCTGCATGGTGCCGAAGACGGCGTGTGCAGTGGGCTGGTTGTAGCGGTGGGTGTTGTCCGCGGTGATGTCGGTTAGGGTTGTAGTTGCGTTTTGCAGAGAGGTGATGAGAGACGAGATGCACTTGACTGCTGGGGGTGGGGCACGGGTCCAGGTGTTTAATGCGGAGGGGGCCATGTTGAGGATCTGGACTGAGGGAGATGGGGGCATGGAGCTGATGTAGTTGGTCACGGCGGTGAGGGTTGTGGATTCGCTGCGCTCGTAGGTGCCGGAGTATGTGTGTGGGGATGATGAGAAGGACATGGTGGAGGCCGGAGTGGTGACTCGTGTCCATTCGGATGGGGAGCATGAGCAGGCGCTGGATGAGCTGTTGCAGGGGCCAGATGAGGATAAGGCACGCCAGTAGTTGTAGCCTGCCATTGCCATTCCGGCGGCTTCGATCCAGCGGCGCAGTCGCATGGACTCGACGGGGTATTTACCGTAGATGTCTGCTTGAAGAGAGCGGTAGCGGAATTCAAGGTCCATGATTCTTCGTTTCAGGCCTTCCTTTCCTTCAAAAGGGAGGTTTGGCTTTCTGCAAAAGTCGGTTTGGTAGGATGCTGCGGTGGTGATGTTCGCACCCCAGTATTCGTCGTTCAGCATGTGGTATTCATCCACTACGGTCTTGATGTCGCGGAGGACCATGCGGTCCATTTCGGTCAACTTCATGCCTATGGCGAACTCGAGGATGGGCCAGAAGGTTCTGGGTCTGTTAGAATGGAGTTTTGAGGTATGGAAGTAGGCGACGTACCTAAACGCTGAGCTCTTCTTGCATCCAAATGACATTGGTTCCGGTGCGACAGCTTTCCCGAGAAGCTCAAGGATAAGCATACCCTGTTCACGATCAAATTGAATAGCCTCAGTAGCCACCTCATAGATCAGCGTCCGCAGCTGGGCCTGTCTGTCGCCAAACTCCTTGTTGCATGCACTAGGACAAGAGCACGACGAAGCTGAAGCGACAGAGCACCGATCCATGCATCTGGTCAGCATGTTGTAGACTTCCGCCCTACTCTGCGAGTCCAATTGATCGGAAAAGGCTACATTGTTAGCTGTATGCAATAAAAATGAGGATAGCACATACCATCACACAAATGGCCCAATTCAATCAACTTCACGGCCGTTGCCATTCTATCCGGCAATGCCTCCGGGACCACCAAGGGAAGCAGATTCCTTCCAACATTGACGGTACGAGATGACAGACCGCCACAGCGCATGTTATCCCAGATACAAGCTAGCTTTTGCGCAGTAGTGATGGCGATTTCATTGTATTTGCTGATTCGCACCGGCAGGGTTGTGAACGCGCCAGAGTTGCGGACGTCAATCTCGTTGACGGTGGTTGAGTTGGTCCAGGTTGCTGAGCACTCCATGATGGATGATCGGGCGCGTGGCGTCTGAAAGAGGATGAAGATGAAGATGAGATGAAAGGTGGATGTGCGATATCGTGGGCCTTTATATAGCATTCAGGGGCGGACCATGAACTGTGGCTCAACTTGCGGGATTCATCATCTTTTGGTCGGTGTATGCAGGATTCCGATATATCCACTTGCTTTCTGTGGCTGACCTGCAAAAAAGAGCATAATATCGGACGAAGCGCATTGGGATGGCGCGGTACTCCGGAGACATATCAGATTTTGGGGTGTGCCTTGCGTGCTATAGATAGTGCTGCATGTGATATCCCATTGCGGTGGCGTTCTGCTTATCTGCTTGGATCCGAAGGGAAGAGGCTGAGCTCCCTCCGAAGATTTATCGCTAGACTGTAGGAGCATACATTAAGCTATAGAAAACGTCTCTATATCCAAGACAAGGACAATCATGATTGAAGCGATTTTTCGCACTCACCTGATTTCTAACTTGCGCCATCACTTAGATTTCTTAGGCAACGCCATTGATCAAATAGAGGAACTATGATGATTTGAAACGTACTTCAACTTGATAGATTCCCTTCTGCTTGTCTTCCCGTTTCACCTCTTATTGTCGGAGGGCAGCGGCGAGATTATCTCCTACTCGAGTTGTTTTATGATAACACCTAGAAAATCTCAATTTTATGGACTCTGAGGTACTAATACGCAGTCCTTTTTGGTACTGAGACTAAAGTAAGAAAGTTGAGTTGTCTCATGTTTGACGAGGTAGCGTTGCTTTTACTGGGCTTGCCCTAAGAGAGGTTTCAGCAAATAAGGAAGTAAGCAGTTCGTGTCCGGAAGGCGAACATAGCGAGTCAAGTAGCGCCAATTTAGCGTGTCCCACATCTTCTTCATCGCCATTAACTCGATCAACTGTTATAACCACGATCGGGCAGATCTTAGATCCCACTTTCCCTACCCACATAGCCTGACCAAGCCACAATCCAAGACGCGATGCAGATTACTCTCTCTGCGCTGCAGCAAGATGCACATGTTACGCACTACTCCAATAATGATAATTGAGCCACAGCAGTGAGGCTTCATAGCCGCGAACACTGTGCAATTAGTCGCGTGGATACATTGCAGCCGCATGTGCATGTTTTGTATGCCTTCAATTACATTGTCCCAGGGTAGCTATCTTGCAGCCATTATTGACTGACCATCAGTTCTCGGGCTTTCCCGTACTGTGTTCTCAAAATGGACCTTCTCTCCTGCGACCATCCGAGTTGTGAAGATCCACGAGCAGCTTCTCTCAAGCCACCGCTATTTCGTCGATCGGTCGGGAATAAATACCAGCAGCCAACGTGTTGGTTCGGTATTTCTCAGAACAGACGGATATATCGATTGAATGATAACAGGTACCAGCATTAGCAGATGATGAGGTAAGAAGGCCAAGTGCGGAGACGCCATCCACGGTTCACACGAATCATGGTTTCCAATATATTGCATTCCCCTCATCACGGTACTCGATCCTCGTCATATCTGGAGTTAGACATAGATGCCAAGTGCCAATCAGGATTGGTGACATGAAGCTCGCGCCCAGCTCCAGGGTCCTGTCATGGCAGATGCACTGACGTAAATAACTACTCCTCTTAAACTGATTGCTGTCTCCAGATTGTATCGATTTTGAGCATGGTCTTCCAAAATGAGACTCCTCATTAGTTACGCCAGTCTCACTCTGCTGGTTGGCTCGTCTGTTTTGGCCAACGATCAGTATGTGATAGGTGTGGCACCCACCACCACAGAGCCAGAATGGTTCAAAACCAGACCTCAAAGCTTCCAAGGTATTCACCCTCCCCCTTTCCGTCTGCTCGACTAACAGATCAGGATACACTGCAACTGGGGCTGCGCCGTTTCTGGCGCAGACGAACCCTGCTCCCTTTGGCAACCCGACCACCTACACAGCCAACCATCCGTTGGAGACATCGCAGCCTATCCACGGAGCCAAAGACCGCAATATTTTCCACCACATGGGCATATTGAGGTAAATACACTCCGTGCTTACTTCCAACAAACGGCTACATAGCCCGACAGTCCCTACTATCCCCGATCCGACGGATTCGGTGTAGATGAATACCCACGCCCCAAAGGCTCAAACATCACACAAATGCATATGCTGCACCGACACGGCTCACGCTATCCCAACAAAGACGAAGGCGACGACTTCGCCAACTGGGCCAAGGCCCTCACCAACGCTACATCCCACGGCGCCATATTCAGCGACGAACTCACCTTCATCCATAACTGGACCTACACCCTCGGCGCCAACATCCTCACCCCCCGAGGCCGAGAAGACCTCCTTGAAAGCGGCATTCTCAACTTCTTCAACTACGGCCATCTCTACACCCCGGGAACCAAGATCGTCGCACGCACCACCACCCAAGACCGCATGCTCAAAAGCGCCGAGAACTTCCTCGCAGGATTCTTCCACCTCGACTGGGACGAGCACGCGAACCTACTCGCCATGATCGAAGAGCAGAATTTCAACACCTCCCTGCAAGCCAAAAACGCCTGTCCCAACGCCATGAACATCTCCTTTGACGACTACGTATCCAACACCGTCACAAAATGGAAATCCCACTATCTTGCCCACCGAACCGACCACCTCAACCACCTCTCCACCAACTACCACTGGACCACCAACGACACCTTCACCGCACAAACCCTCTGCGCCTACGAAACCGTCGCCCTCGGCTACAGCCCCTGGTGTGCCCTCTTCACCTTCCCCGAATGGGAAGGCTTCTCCTACACCTACGACCTCACCTTCGGCGGCAACGCAGGCTTCCAATGTCCCATCAGTCGCGCAATGGGCATCACCTGGGTAGAAGAATTCCTCGCACGCGTCGAGAACCGCTCATTCTCAACAGAAGGATCATCCTCCGCCGCGAACCTCACCCTGAACACCAACCCAACCACCTTCCCCACAAATCAATCCCTCTACTTCGACTTCGTCCACGACAAGATCCTCCTCGGTGTACTTACAGCCTTCGGACTACGGCAGTTCGCTGACCTCCCATTCCCAGATTACACTGATACGAATGAGACTCACTTACCCCGCGACCACAATTTCCAAACCGCCAAAATCATCCCCTTCGCCGGCCGTCTTAACATCGAAATCATCCGCGCTCCACATAAGATCAACCCATGTCGTACCCACGACCCTCATCAGGATACTTATGTGAAGGATACAGGGGAGACTGAGTACGTGCATTTCCTGCTCAATCAGCGCACGGTGCCGCTACATAAGAGTCTGCCAGAGTGTGCGTTCCGGAGTGATGGGTGGTGCGAGTTGTGTGCGTTTCTGCGGGCGCAGAAGGATAGTCTTCGAAAGGCGGCGTAAGATTTTACCTGTGTGGGAAAGTGGGATTTGGGGGAGTTTGGGGAGGTGCAGGATGGGGTTCCTGTTCGGAGGGGAGCATGAAATCGTAGGTATGTAGTCTGGAGGGGAGAGAAGGTAAGTAGTGTATTGTGTAGTTGTATTTGCATCTTTAGTGATAGGAACATATGTAATTCAACAAAGTTGCACAATGGAATATTTTCATATATCAACATAAGCAGCAGCTTCCATATATTTAGCCACTAGCTCTATCTCATCATATAGCAAGAGGTATCAATAGGCCTGCACATTGAATTCCTCAGGCCGGAATCAACTATGTACAGAACCCTCGTTCAAGGAGACGTCTCCTTCCGAATCATATCTACCCGCGCAATATCGTCCGCACTCGGCTCCGGCATGTCCGACTCGTCCACAAAAGCCTCGCCGACCGCGTCTTCGACTTGTTCCAGCATGTATGAGATCAAGCCGACCGAGCGCGCCATTCCGACTTGGCTTAGGCTCTCGCCGACCGCTGCCTCGATCTTCCCGTCGCCACCGTTTTGCGCCAGATCGGCTTCGAAGGCATGGCAGAGGGACTTGAGCGGTTCGAGGAAGCGGTTGCGGAAGTACACGTAGGTCTTTTCGAGCTGGAGCTGCTTGCGCAGGTGTGTTGAAGATACGATGGTGTAGTAGAGGCTGAGAGCCGCGTGGATGGAGGGGGATAAAGTCTGGGAGAACTTGATGAAGGAAGCGACGAGGTCGGACGATACGTTCATGAATAGTTCGGAGGAGTTAAAGAGGGAGGGGAACAGCACCGAGAAGTAGTGCGGGTCGAGATAGACGCTAGGCTCTGCGGAAGTGCCAGCTTTGGAGGAATTTGCTGCTTCAAGGATACCCGTCTTGAGCCATCCAATCGCACTATCTTTGACGCTCTGGAAGCGGTCGTCTTCCAAAACGGTCCGGATCACTTTGAACTGGGTGACCTGCGATGGATGCGTCCGGATGATCGTTCCAGGAATGCGTCGGACGGAGCTATAATTTTGACGCGCAGTGCAAGCAGTCAAGGTCAGCACAAAGTCAATAAAGTCCTTCTCGTGGGGTGTCGTATCGCTTGGCTTTTGCATGGAAAAGACCGTCAGCGTGAGCAGAGAGTCCAGCAGCACTTGGGGCTGTCCGAATGCCACTTCGTCTGGAGAATTGTATCCTCCGACGAAGTTCTGGAAGATCCGTGCTAAGTCAGGGAATATGGCGATCGGACTGACTTGGCCAGAGGAGAACAGTTCTGCGGTAGCCGCCCGCGCCGCGAGTAGCAGTAGGGAGCCGTGTCTTTCTAACGGAATCTCATCCGCCTTCTTGGGCGGCTCCTCGAAGTCTAGAGGAAGAGGCTGGTCCTTCGGGGATTGAAGGGCGATTTCAAGCAGTTTCTGGTCATTGAGACCGAAATCTCGGGATAGAGCCTGCGGCCGTTAGTGAAACCCAGATAGCAAGTTGTTGGTAGCCTACCGTGATCTTGGCAATGATCATGTCCCTCTCTTTCAGCTCTTTATGATTGGCAAATGCATCGCTCGGTGTCTCCTGCTTGGCCAGACGCAGACCAGGTTGCAACTTCTCCTGCAGTCTAATCGCCCAGGACATACCGGGGTCTGACGGCCCAGTGAAGCTCAGTAGGTATGACTTGAGAACCTCGATTAGGCCGAATTGTAGGAACTTCTGGACCAGAACCGACTCATCATCGCTTGCCGGGGAAGGGGACTGGACCTCGGCTTCCGGGTCCGGTGCTGATTTCTCCGAGAGACGCAGCACGCTTGACTCGCTGGGCACTCTGGGTGGCGGTGCCGGTCTCTTGGACGGTGAGACGTCTCTGAAGAACTCCAGCATCGCATACGTCGTCTCGTTCGTGGGCATGAGGGTATATGCCTCCAGTACAGCCTGCAGCGATGTCGCTAGGAACCGACTGGGGGATTTGGTCTGGATACGGGAATGGAGAACCGATAGCATCGAGACCAGAGTATTGAACTGCAAGATATGGCGCGGCAGGGCCGCGTTTTTCGATGCGCCATCCGTAGCATCTTGCGACGCTTCATCAGCCTTAGCCGTGCCATCGTCGCTATCATCATCCTCGTCCTCGGGCTGTAACTGCATGAGCGCATCGGAAACTCGCAATATCACCTCTCTTGGGTTTCCCAAGCGAGCGATGTCGTGCAGGCAATCGAGGGACTGGGGCAACATGGGCAGCAATAGCTGCACCAAGTCCCAGCCGATGTTGGTCGTTAGGACTTCATCCTGAAGGAGCTTGTGGAGGATGGGAAGGCGGGCGGGGGTGAGTTGATATTCGAGGAGGGTGAGATAGGTGAGGTAGTCAGTGGCCGGCGGCAGGGCCTGAATGAGCGGATCTTCTTCGGCGGCCATTGCAAGGTCGGAGGTACAGCTGGGGGTAAAAGAATGGGATGGGAGAGATGGCCAGCCAGCAGGAGAGATTGCAGCTGGTCGAGACGGGACAGCCGAAACACGGGGAGGGAGAAACGAACAGCCAGAGGGAGGCAGAAGGCAGAAGAGAAGGCCCATTGGGGGGAATGCTTAATGCCATCTTGCACCGCCCCAGTGCAGATGATGTCACCCGCCCCCCACTCTTCTCCATCCACTTGACACTCTTCTTTTCCTTTGTGCCACTCGACTCAGGATCAGGAACCGGATATTATCCCGTATTGCAGACCTGAGTACAACAATTTAATGACCACGGAGACCTAATAATCACTAGATGACTACCATTACAGCCATGACGCTGGCTCAACAATTGACCAGCTAGTGATCATCTGTCACGGCTTCATCCCACCTAAACGCCTCCTGCCTATTGAGGTAGAGATGTGCAATTCTCCGCCCGCTTTCTACGTGAAACAGGGTCATACTTTGTAACGTCTTTAACGTTCCAGGTGCAAGCAGACTGCAAGTATGGGCATCCACTCACAATGCCTGCTTTACTGTTTAGCCTTCAGTATATATGCCACGTGATCTGGCTGAGGTGGCTGGTGTCTGATGACTGTTGGTGCCTCAGGCTGCGAAGAAGCGAAGCTTTACGCCAAGGTATCCCCCGACTAGCTAGCTAGACAACATCGGACAATCAAGTTCGAGGAACAACGCATCCCAATCGAATGTTTGGATATTCGTGTCTGTTTGCGAAATCTGCCAAATCTCATCAAGGTGGGGAAGAGCTGGAATGTTGTCCTGTTCGTTGGCAATAGTGTCGGTCAGGCTGGATGAGCTGTTGTCGGCACAGAGGGACTCAGAAATGACCTCGCTGACCGACATATCATGTTTTCGCACAACTTGCTGGAACGACTCAAGAAGCTTGATGGCAACAGGAGAGTCTTTTGTGGCGTCTTTCAGAATGCCACATGCATCGACCACTTCCGCCCGGCGCGCTTGCCGAGGTACAGGTTCCTGAGAAAGACACATGTCCAGAAAGAGGGCTGTGATCGCGATGCCAACACACTGCAAGATTCCGGAGAACTTCAGTCTCGTAAGCACAAAGGGGATATCCTCGCTTGCCAGCATTCTTTCTGCCTGTATGACACACCGAGCCGCTTCCAGGCAAGCCTCTCTTGAGGGGGCATACATCGGATCGACCAAGCCGCGGGCTAAGTACGGGAGATGTAGTCGGCACCGTTGTGAGTGGACCAAGGAATTGATGATGTACCGCTGTATCATTATCCCCGGTGCAATGTTCGGATACTTGGCGATGAGGCTGTCGAGGGCATCTCCATCCAGGCGGAAGAACTGTGGTAATTGTCCGATGAATGTAACAATACGCTGGTCCACCCCCAAAAGCCGCCCAGACTCAATATCGCCGTCATTGAATGTGGTCAGTGAAGAAGAATCTATGACTTCCCGACATATCTCCGCTAGCTTGATACGCTGAAGGCTATATGAGATCTCGGTAGGTTGCTCCATCGGTCGGTCAACGATGGGGGAACCAGCCATAAGACTTTCATCGTCAACATTGCGAGGCTTTAAGACCACCATATGTAGCGGGTTGATGCTGTACGTGCCTCTATGTGGACCAGGGAATTGTGATGCCATCCTGTGCCACTCAGTAATGGCTTTGGCGAGAGCAGCGGTGGACGCGATACATACCAATCCGTAGCAACCAAATACCACCATACTCTTCGCTTCATTTCAGCGTCAACAGAGTCAGCATGTGTTTCCTCCCTTCCTTCTATTCCCGATTGACGGTCGACTTTGTGCAACGAGAGTTCTCGCGCTGCTGTTATGGCTGTTGACAACAGGTCACGGAATCGAGCAGTGATACCTTCCAGATTAGCAATGACAAAGGATATGATGATCATTGCCTGGATGGCTTCGATGGATTGAAGGGATTGGCGCCGACAGTGATCTAGCAAGTCAAGAGTTCCTTTGACCCACAGAGAAGATGTTGCATTCATCTTCGAGGGAGTCGCAAATGGTGCATTTTCTGAGTCCTTCCGAGTCCACGTATACATCGCACTCGACAGGATACTTAAAAGAAGCGCCACCTGACCAGGACTTACAGGCGCTTTATGCTCAATGTCATTGTAGATGTTGTCAACCATTGTACGCAATGGACCGCTAAGGACAACGTGATGAATGTAGGTGATATCACGCAAGTATTTCTCAAGCAGAACCACCGACTCCTGGTATAGTGGAATTGAAAAGCTCCTCACCAAAGGGCCTGGACTTGTACTTTCAATGGTCACAACACTGCTTATACTCCATATCGAACATGATCGAAAGGTCGTCGTGTCGGTTCCGACCGAACGCTGTGTTGGTTAGCTGCTTGAGTCCCAGCAGAAGTTTGAACCACACATACACAAGACATCTGACTTGCGCACTCTGCTTCGAGCCATATTGCATCTGCTGCAGCCTGCCTATCCTTTCGTGCTAATTGTGGTCGACTCATACGACGATCTGTCTTTGGATCATGCGCTCGAATAGATTGACTGTTTGTTCGAAGAACGATGTCCTCTAGCCGTTGTAGACGTGTCAAGATATCAGCCGTCCCGCGGCTATCATTATTATGAGGGCTGTCACTTGACACTGGAGCTGAATACAGCCCGCAGTCAAATCCACGGCTGATGCAATTGGAGCAGGGAAGCTGACGGCTGCACCGTAATTTTCGCGACCGACAAAAGTGACACGAGACAGGCCTCAAGCGGGAATTTTGCTTCTCTATATGTGATCGAGGAGGCATCCTGCACTTAATTTGATGTCTAAATATTCGAATGGAACAATGGTGATGGTTGATGCGAAACAGACGTGAGAGTCGACACGAGGGTGGCGAAGGATCCGAAGGCTCCTCAATCTAGCCAATCATCGTTGGTGTAGCCCGCGGATATTCCGCGGAGAGAGCCAAGCCCTGAGATGAAGCTCTATAAAATACAACGATGCTGCCAGTCTTCTATGCACCAGACCACTCGATTCATTCCCAATGGACTCTATCATCGACCAGATTCGTACCCTGGCGGGCACGGCTGATGAGCCAGGGCGCACCAGCATCTATAACGATCTCCGCTCCCTTCTGCCGGAACTTCAGAGCCCGATGGATATGATCATGGATCTTTTTAACTCTGTACTCTGCGTTTTCACTATATTATACGTTCCATTTAGCTGATATATCTCATAGCACCTCAGAGTTTCGGTCATCATGCTCGGAATGAATACTGGTCTATTCCGAAAGTTAGCATTGCACGACCGCGTATGGACAACCTCGGAGCTGGCACGGGATCTGAGGGTTGAACTACGGCTCCTGGGTAAGCATCTCTCATTGAAGCTTAAAGGGCTCATGGTGACTAAGATTACAATCACTTGCAACACAGAACGTGTTCTTCGTTACCTTGCAGCAAATGAAATCATCGAAGAGACGAGTGTGGGAGAATTCCGAGCCAAGCGAACAACCATGATGCTTGCCGATGAGCGTTCGGAAGGATTCGTTCTCTACGCGTAAGACCTATTCATGGTATATAAGACTAGAATTCTTGGCTTATTTATCCGTATGACAGATTCGAAACCTGTGGGCCAGCCAGTCAAGCATTTCCGGCGTTCTTCGCAGAAAATAACTACGATGATATTACGGATAACAAAAACACCCCATTTCAGAAAGCCTTTCAAACAGACCTCACCTGTTTTGAGTGGTTATCCAATCATCCAAAACTGTTTGATTCTTTACAACAGGTTATGACCGGTCTTCAGTCCACGGACTGGCTTTCGGATTTCGACCTCTTTCACCAAGAAGCTGATCGCGTTGATCAAAGCCCAGTGCATCATGGAGAGCCTTTCTTCATTGATGTCGGCGGTGGCCATGGCCACCAGTGTATTCAACTCAGGGACAAGTATCCCCATCTCCGAGGACGCCTTGTGCTGCAGGACCTGCCCGAAGCGGTCGACCACCTTCCTCCCCTGGACGGTATCCAGGTCATGGCTCACGACATTTTTAAGCCACAGAACATAAAGGGTGAGCAGGTTTTATATCTCTGAAAGTATCAATGACCATCTAACCCAGAACTTCGATTCAACAGGAGCAAGGTTCTACTACCTGCGACGGATCCTTCACGACTACCCGGATTCTCAATGCACCCAGATCCTTCAACACCTGGCCACTGCCATGGGGCCTGATTCAAGAATCCTCGTGGACGAGATGGTGCTACCAGATGTGAATGCATTATGGCAAGCGACCCTGGCCGATATATCCCTGATGATCTCACTTGGTGGTAAGGAGCGAACCAAGAAGCAATGGACGGAGCTAGCTAAGCGTGTGGGACTACGTATTGAGGAGATACACACCTATGATCTGGAGTCCAGCACGTCTATAATCGTGTTTCGGCGAAAGTAAGATGTTGTACATGTCTTAGTGCAGCGGAGGTGCGTATTTCGGAACAACTTGATTGCAATGATTACAATGGGATATAGGAATGCGTGTAGGAATTATATAAAGTCCTGCAACTTAGAAGTGGTTGTGATACAGTATAATGTTGACTGCCTTCAACAATCTCAATAATCTTCTGAAAAGGTGCTTTTGGTAAACTGCCTAGTCTATATCTGGCTTTAGAAGAATGTCAGCTTTAGAACAAAATGATCACTTCAATCGCAATGCTACCAGTAAAAATCCACTATGCTAGGTCTAGTTATTCTACCCGAATTAAATGGCCAGACAGGCAGCAGTCAGATAAAGCCCCACCGGTCCGGTTAGGCAACCCGAAGGGCCCAGGTGCGGGGCCGCTCGGGTGCTGATCCTCAGGCTCAAAGAAACCGCCTGGACCCTACATGAACAGGCGTATACAGTGGCGTTCCAAAACGCACACCGGTAATTCGTCAAATCAGCAATATGGATCTTTTTCACTCGGCAGGGTTTGCGTCATATGTGACAGAGTTGATGGATCAGCAGCATGTCCCGGGGCTGGCGATTGCAATCGTACACAATGATGAAATTGCCTCTGCGGGATATGGACATGCGAGCCTGGATCCCGAAATACCTTGTACAGCAGATACGCTGTTTGACATTGCATCGTCTGCTAAATCACTCACTGCTGCAGCGGTGGGATTGCTAGTCGACGATAATGACATGTTCCCGGATATTCAGTACGATGCCGTAATGTCGACTCTTCTCCCCGAGGACTTTGTTATGTCTGGAGAAGGATACACAGAAGGAGTCACTGTAGAAGACATCTTGAGTCATAGAAGTGGAATGCCTCGGTGAGCTAATATTTTTCAAATTCCATGTTTGACTTTCAAGACTAATCATATTGCGCCAGCCATGACGATTCGTATATGAGTGTGCGAGCGGCGAAGCCGGACAATGCTCGATCCATTACGAGAAACCTCAGAAATCTCCCTGTCGCGGCCCCCATTCGATCAAAGTATATTTACTGCAACATGATGTATACAGTGGCAACCCACCTTGTGGAAGTCAAGAGCGGACAGGATTTCGGTACATTCCTCGAAGAGCGAATTTTCAAGCCTCTGGACATGGCATCAACTACTCTTCAACCCAGCAGCGCACGATCAAAAGGATTTGGATCCCGCATGGCAACTGGCTACACATGGAAAAGGGCCAACTCGACATATCGTGGGTTAGAAAGTCCAGACTGCCCAGAAGGCCAAGGCGCAGGGTCTATCATTTCGAGTGTGAACGACTTCATCAAATTTGTCAAGGCTTTCATGAATCGCGAAGACCCTATCAATAAAAATGTTTATGAAGGGCTCACTCGCCTGCGAACTTTTGTGAATCCAAACCCAGCAAGACGGAAGCGGCACAGCTCACCGGTAGCATATGCTGCTGGCCTGGATATCTACTTTTACAAGGGACATATGGTTGTCGGTCATAATGGGGTATTCTCTGGATTCGCAAGTCGCTTCTTCTTTCTCCCTGATTTCTCATTCGGTGCTGTGATCATGGGAAACTCAGATGGGGCAAATGGCGTTGCGACGACCCTTGTCCAAAAGTTAATTGACAATATCCTTGGAGTCACGGACGAAACCCCTCAGGACAGCAAAAGCAAAGACACACGATCTGTTGAAATTCGCGGTCCAGAACCTCAGGCCGAGGCGAAAGATACAAATCCAATGAGTAAGAACCAGGAAAAGAAGGAGAAGAAAAAGCAGGAAAAGAAAACCCAAGCGAAGAAAAGTCAAGGTATCCAGAAGGGCCAAGTGAATGAGCAAAAACCAAAACGGAATACTCCGCAGCCACCGACAATACCCCTTAGTGCTTACGCTGGCAACTACTGGAATCCTGGGTATCATAACTTACTGGTTCAAATCAGAGATGATGCGCTCTTCATCGATGCTACAGATCGCTCAATGGGGTTTACCTTGAAATTCGAACATGTGTCCGATGACCGAAAATTCGATGCTCATCTTACTGATTGGCTCGATGGCAGTGATGACATCGTGAAAGCGGAGTTTGTGATAGAAGATGCTCAAGTCACAAGGTTGGGTCTGCAGTTGGAGGAAATGCTCAAGGAAATGATCTGGTTCGAGAAGAAGGATGGAGTGCGCAGCGGTGCGGCCAGGGTTCAAAACCCGCTTTTCGGTGTAATGCCTTGATTTAGAACGGCAGGAAAATCAAGATACCTATATTACTATTACATATACCGCTGCGTAGGATGGAGTTCTTTCTTGACAGTATTCTCCCTGATAGAGCTCAATGCATTAAGCGCTTACAAGAGGATATGTTGCAAAAGAGAAGGATAAAATTAATTGACAAATATTTGACCAATTGGCCTATGTTCAAACTCTGAAATCCTCTGCCTAGTGGGTCTGATCAGGGCGGATCATGCTCCTGCTCAGCGAGCATGATCATGCTTTCTCTTTTCCCTGACTACCTAGGGATTCCAGAGTAGAATGCATACTCCTCAAGAAGATATATCCGCGCACATGAAGCCAAGCCCTCTACTTATTGGAGAACACATGAAGTAAGAGTGGGTTCTACCCGGAATACCCGTCGGACTTCCTAGCCGGATGGACGCTACCGAGGATTAGTATATGTGATCCTCAGGAGATAAATTTCTTCTCGACGAGTAATGTGAGAACGTGACTTATCTTGGGGATGATTGTTCTTTCTTGGCGTTTGCTTGTCTGGTTATGTTCAGACCATGATTGGGTATAGAGGAGGGGTTAAAGGATGTTAGTCTGGCCTGAGGTACTCGATCTCCGTCGGAGTTAATCATATCCTTGTTAGGATTCTTGTTTCGATTGTTGGTTGTGGGGGTGAAGTTAATGGTTAGATGGGTAGACTGCATACAGAGAAGGAGATGGGATGATTAGTAGGGTACTGGGAGGATTCAGAGTATTATAAATAGGGAGGAGAATCTTCTCTGTCTCGAATACTATCAGACAAGAACAAAGACAGAAGAAGAAGAACAGTAGAGAGATCATCCCTAAAGCAAAACACAATGTTCCAACTCAAGGTACATACACACCCTCCCACTCCTGTTCCACCCCATCATAACCTCACCAACCCCCCCTAACAACCCCTAAACAGACAATCCTCCCCCTCTCCCTCTTCCTAACATCTACCCTCGCCGCCCCCTCCCTAAACACCCACACCCCCTCTGAATCCCGCTCCGACTCAAAATGCGTCTACTACTGCGGTAGCCACTGCTACTGGGCGAGCGACATCAGCAAAGCGCAAGCAAAGGGGTACTCCCTACACGAAGAAGGGCGAACAATCGACGACTACCCGCACGTGTATCACGACTACGAAGGGTTCGATTTCACCGTCTCGGGAACATACTACGAGTACCCGATTCTGGATGATTACAAGGTGTATGATGGGGGTTCTCCTGGTGCGGATCGGATTATTTTCAATGGGGAGGATGAGTTTGCGGGATTGATTACACATACCGGGGCGGAGGAATATGATGGGTTTGTGGCTTGTCAGGCTGTTTAGATTTTCTATTTAGTTGGTTTGTGTGGGTGGTAGAGGGGTTGGGGGAGGGGTGAGAAATTGAAAGGTGTTTTTGATTGATTGAGTGAGAGGGCAGTACACAGTAGCAGTCCGTGTCGGCCAGTTATAGAGATCAGCACATACCAAGTGGAGATGGAAACAGTCCGGCCCGGGCCGGTGGGTCTCAGCTTCAGCTGCAGTGGGCGGGGTTTCTCCGAAAACAATAGAATTCATACTACCTGCAGCTCGGCACCCACCGTCGGGATTTCCGACTGCAATTCGGGATGTGAAATCGGCTACCCTCTCTACGCATATCTTTATCCCGTCTGAACTGTTCCATTTCTATCTAAACACATGATCCATATTACTTTGCCACGGTTCAACTAGCACATTGTCCCCCACCCAACTCATGTTAACATCCAACATGCTGTGGTCGGTCCAACTCGGTGCTTCCAGTGCTAGGCTAGACACGTCAAGCGCCGATTCCACTGATAGCTCGGTCTCGGCTGCTGTGAAAAATTCGAGACTACCCACATCAGAGCCAATTGATGGGTCAACCGTTGGTGGAATTTGTGCCCCCTCAAACGCGCCCAGATGGCCATGATCGGATATGACGCCGCTAGATACATGAGAGACTGGAGAGGACGCTGCTGCGGAGTCAATGCACGATGTGGGCTGGCTTGATGTCACCATGCGTGCAGGAGGATGAACCATCTCTTCTGCGCGCCTGCGAAGATCATCCATGATCTCTGAGGCTCGGCACGACAACCCTAGACTGTTCACGAGAATAGCAAATGCGACCTCAGCAGTATCCACCGCTTTTTGGGCTTCTGCAGCGAAGGTACACATTGGATTGGCTAAAATGAAGGTAATGAGGTATAGGCAGCTATCCCACTGGCAGCGGAACATCGGGAGACTCCTCGCAAGACTTTCACTTTCAGTCAGACACTGGTGGCAGATCACCGTTAAGGTGATGGCGTGCTTCACGCCAGTGACAGCGTGCGCATGTGCTCGCGGCATGGAGGCCGAATCGCCGCCCTGCAGGTAGAGAAAAGGTTGTAAAACCGCCAGACTCAGACTATGGTAGCTGATTTCCAGGGCATACTGCTGCCGCTGAAGCCATAAAGGGGCTTTACCGTCTAGACTAACAGTTGCTCCTTTTAAGAGGAATGAGAACCCCCGACTACCGTCCTTTCGAGGAATCCGTAACGGAGAAGGGACTGCTTTAAGCCCTTCCCGGATAGCCTTGAGAGGTCGCACCATGAACATCGCGATAGACTCCAGGAGGCCTGGTAGGTTGCTAAGGTCGGTCTCATAGGTTTCCCGGAGAATCTCCTTTTGTTGTTGGTCAAAGACTGTGCGTACAATCTGGATTGACATGAGCAGCTTGGCCCAGTGCACCTGAAAGTGATTCGAGCTTGAGCCGCCCATTGGGGAGATCGTCGGCCAGCCGCAGGATACCTCACCCTGTACGATGAGAGATGGCAGTCCCATACTAGTCGTGAGATAGCTCTCCAATGTATACAAAGCCCACCACACCCGGCGCCGGACCTCCCGCTGCCTCGCATCCATTCCCTCCGGGGGATCGTGGTGAAGGTCTAGCCCATATGCCAAACGCACTGCGCCGTCGATCGTGGCGTATGCAGGCTCAATGCGGTCAGTGTACAGCAAATAGATGCTCGAGAAGATGAAAGTCTGCACCGTGGCCAACGTTGGGGCCGCCTGTTCCTCTTCTAGAAGAAGTTGCCGGGTGCGATTATACAGCTGTTGCCCGGCTATAAGAACATTGCTGCGACCTGATCCATTATTGGAGACAGCAGTACTGGTGACCTGCATGCAAATGGCAAGTAAACTGTCGACAAGAGCTGATGACTGCCGGACTTTGCGTCTCGGCGTCCACAGGGAATCGTAATAAGCCTGGAATTCTCCCACCCCAAGGATGGGCCAGAGCGATTGGACATGGGGCCAGCCCGTGTTGAGTAGATGGCTCTCATCGGTCCTCGACAACTCAATTGGAAGACTTTGTTGGTCGCTGACAACAGGGATGCCTGTGATATCGAGCTCTGCTGTCTGAAACCCTGGTCTAGCGGCCCTTCTGACAGAGAATATCATGTGTTAACAGACTGCGTCTCTCCCACTAACAGAGAGAAGTAAGGAAACCTACAAGCTCGCTACTCTGTCAAAGCGGGAATTCCAGTGTTGAGACATGGTGCACCGCGCAAGAAAGATATCAGGACAATGTATAGGCAACGATATAGTCAATGAGCCGTAGACGCCCTCGTAAACGGGTTATTCACACTGATGTTTTGAAAACTCAGGTCCTGCCTGCCACTACATCCTTCTCCCATTGTTCTGATAGCCAATTTATGTTCTGGAAAGGAGCGGGTCCAGTTGCAGACGCTGCAGTCTGCGATCCTGGTTGTCGGGTATATCAAAATCTGTTTCAGTAGAAAATATAAAGTTCGCCACCGCGCTACTTAACGGCTTGCCCAGTACGCAGTACCTCCTTGGCGGATTGCACCAGTAAGGAGGCCTGGAAAATCCTTCCTCGCCACCGTCTGTCAGACTAATAGCAGGTGGGGGCGCCCGGCGCAGACTGGAAAATAGTTGACAGGCACGGTGATAGGACCATGTACCCTTGTCACGGGGTATACCCGACACTAAAGACGACTAATTTATTTGACACTGCACAGAGTATTTTTGGGGTTGTCGGCAGAGCTTTTGCTCAACGACAGCTGTCGGGCATCGTGCATAAGCCAGCATCTCCGTCGACTAGCGAAGCTCAGCGATAATCCCTGCCTCCACTTTCGGTATGATCCACAAACGGGCCAAAGTGACCAACACGTCTTACTGCAGGATGTGGAAAAGCCCAGACGAAAAATTTTTTTTTTCTTAGCTGAGGAATGCCATGGGTGTGGATGGGGGCGATGGTACTGTTGAGAGTATAGCAAGGAAATCTACACAAACAACAATGTCAGTACAAACCGGAACATCAGCTTTCAATCTAAATTGTGACTTGATGTAGTCAAGAACTCGGTTGAAGTGACAGATGGTACTATCTTCTTAGTGGAATATGTCCCTGGTAACTGTCTGACAGTTTGACCATCCGCGGAAAGTGTGCCAGAGTCTAGATCCGAGCCCAGGCGAACGCATTGCCTATATGTCAGCCGCTATTATGCGTCAACCATGCGGGGTATTTACTTAGCCTGTGGCCACCTCTTTGCTTATCTTGTAGATTCAGATTTTTTTTTCTCGTGCCCAGGAATCCTTGTATGTGCTGGCAAGAGATTTGAAGGGTTGCTTGCCTGTACTCCGACGAAGAGGTCAAAGAAGCTAGAAATTGAAAGGAGGTTGGAAGTCGAGGACCCTTCAGCTCCCACAATTAACACAAATGGCGTTTGCACTGTAACATCTCTACAACACCCAGGTTATTAGCAGTACAATTAGCGTTCTGCTTTGGCCCAATATAGCTTCCATCTCCGTGATCTACTGACGCCTGGTTTTTGAGTCTTTACAAGGTCAGTGGCCTGTGCATTGAGCAGTTGCCCTGTGCATGAAACAGCCTTCCCTCCCCCGGATAATCATTCCCTCTTACACTGTGTCTTTTCTAGCCTTCCATCCCTCAGGAGTGCGCAGTACAAATGATCCAATGTCTGGACTCCTGTGAAATGTCAATCATGAGAACCGCCACGTCCTATATGTAGATCGGCTTGTGATCGGTGATCCAGCAATCTTGTGGCGTAAGCCACACCCTGTTGTTGGTATGATTGGCATGCGCCGACATCGATGTACAGCGGCGGAAGCGCCGAGTAATCTTTTATCTTGCCCGATGCGGCAATGGCTCGTGTCTTGGTCCCTAATGCGGTCTCAAAGAAACAGATTCTATGATCCGTTGATCCTGGGTTGTAACGTATATTCACCTATTGAAATCGAGAAATCGCTGTGCCGAGACTCTTATTTTACGATCATCGAGCATTGGCGGAGAGAAAGGAGTTTCTCGGTTATCTTCAGTGCTCTATGGCCTCTTGCCAAGAGTACATTGTCTGCTCCTAGTCTGTCACCAGAGGATTTCTGAGCTGCTGCAGGCGGTCTGGACCTATTCCAAAGTCCAGAACCACGCAAGTATTTTCCGGCCCATGACAATGCCGCGTAGGAATCCTCAGCCAGGATTAGTCTTCGAAGCTGGGGGGCGATGCGGTGGTCCAACCAAACAGAGTTGCATCAAGTACTTTGTCAATCTCTCTTACCAGCACATCCCCATGTATACAAAGCGCGTCTGGACGGAGGCAAAGACGGGTGGGATGCGGTCTCAGCCGGAGGGATCAACTTCGTGTAGAATTCGAAGATGTTTTCGGAAAAGATAGAACGTTATGGACTGGTCAGATAAGATCTCAGCTGTAGCATTATCCACGGGCGGCTGCAGATTCTTTCTACTAGTGTATGCATTGTGTCGGAAGTAAAGGCCAGCCAGTCAGATGGGAAAAGAAAAGATATTCTGCTCGGGGTGTTATTGAAGCTGTGCGTAGAAAAAAGACCCTTCGGGTAAGTACTCCCGAGGTGGACACCCTCCCATCGGTGTTTAATATCACAAGTACTGAAATGCCCCTCCTTCGTCTTGACCGATGCAGCATTGGCGCATTACTTCGGACGTGTACTTGACTACGCGAGTCATGGCGAAAGACCAATCCACACATGTGTGCTACTCATGTTACTAAACAGTAATATTCCACACATGTTGTGATTCTAATTAAGGGAGCCATACCTATCACTGATTTGATTATCAGATGAATATAAAATAAAGATCGTCGTGTTATTCCGTTGATAATATTATAAAGGAAAGAACCAATCATGACCCATAATTTATGTAGGTACCTTTGCAACGGGGCAACCCTACAAGGTACAGCGCCCGACGTTCCGCACGTTCCGTGTTTGCCGCGCTGCCCAAGTCTAAAGTTAATCAGGAATATGCTTGCATAGAAGCTGAGGAATTTCCATACGAGCTCGCGTAGAACTTTCCTTAGAACCTTCATGACTGGAAATGTGGTTCCTGGTTTTGAACCTGGGAGATCTTAACAAGAAATCTGAGGTCCAAGACGCCCGTCCATACTACCTGTTTGAAACGTGACTTTCTAGCTGCCAAGCAGACATATGCAACTCGTGCTAGAATTCGCGCTCATGTCGCTAACTTAGGATACATGCCTAGTCGTGGGTAGACGAATGGTTATGAGCTCTGGGCTTTGCCGGAGCGGTCCGGACGCTCGGACGCTCGCCGACAGTGTGACAGCTGGCTGGTTTTCGGTGCTAAGTGGGGAATAAATGCCCGTTGAGTTGGACAGATCTCGAATTCCTTCAACGAAATAGAACTATAGCGAGACAAGACTAAGGCATTAAAATCTTCTGTGGGCGTTGTGGTGCGAAACTATGGTGCGAAGGTGTGTGTCAGCAAGTTCTAGACCACTTGATGCACAGGCAAGGAATAACGAAATTCGATATATGGGGTATTCTGATTCTGCGCATAGAATGACAGAAAGAACAACGTTGGTTCCAGTAGCTTTCGACCACAATGCGCTAGTAAGAGCGCATTAGTCGATACGAAATACCCAGGGCGTTGTATTTGACGTGACTCGATTTACATTTACAGTAATCCCGGGATGGAATTGGCGATGGTGAGACCGTAAATGAATGTATTGGTGCGCTATCGCAAGCTCTCTTCTGTGATTAAATCAGGCGAGTCCAAAATGGTATGAAGCAGAAGATCTCATAGCAAGAGGTCGGCTCCTTGCTTGCGCGGACTGTTCAGAAAGTTGAGCTTTCAGCAAAATAAATCTGGCTTTGTATTCTCTTGAAGTTCATCCATCTGTCGCTCTAAAATCAGTCGGGCTTTGCTGTCAGATAAAGCTGTACATCTTCTCGCAACAGAGTCTTCCTAACCCAGCTGCTCTTGATGAAGACCGTGAAGTAGCTAGAACATTATCAAGAGAAAACGGAACACACATACATTTGGCCAATTAATACGTCCGTCAAAGGCGACTTGACTAGGCGTCAAATGAATGGCTGCTTCATTAATTAGGAAACAATATTAGATCGGAAGCCTTTTCATACTGGCTTTGAGCATTTGAGTATGAGAAGCTACCCCATTAGCATCGTTTGAAGCAAGCCCACAGCGAATGCGCTTTGTTTGGCAGATTACTCAGGGTATTATTCTCTTGACCGAGTGGGAAGAGTGGAAGACTTCACAAGATATTATCAGGCCACGCAGTGCGCCCGGCGAGGGGATTGCATCCATCCGTATGGATGATTATTTCAAAATCTTCTGTGACAACAAAAGCTAGAAGCATCGAGCTCGCCATCAATTACATTGTGAGACCTATTGATGGGGCATATTTGAAATTCTCAAGTGCATTGACTGGTCTCATAGGAAGTTACACTAAGCTCAGAATGTCGATTCAATTCTCAATGGAGCCACATTACATGCTGACCTCATACAGTCAGCCCTACGCATGTAACAACGGTTTCCAATACAACAGATAAAGCCTTCAGTACGGCCCGTATACGTGAATCGGTATTCTATTCTTAGTTACCAGGTTAAGCTATCTCTGGGACAGGCTTTTACATATTACCTAAGAAATCATCCAGCACCGGGTGTATTTATTGATTCGCTTCTCCTCGATACTTTCATTTTTCATCACCCTTACCTTCACTTCAGAGGATGCTAATCGAAGTCGCAATGGCTAATGCGCACAGCTAAAATACCATATAGGGATGACGTGGAACTCACACATTGATGATCTCTCGTCGCACAGGAGGCTATTCATCTGCTGTATGCCACTCCCAGTGACAATCGACCTACTCGACTTTCCCAGTGGCCTGAGCATGCAGAATACGATTGTTCTCCGACGTGTGCTCGCTGGATTGATACGTGTCACATGGCAGATGGGAGACTGCGCATTGAGCTACCAATCAAGTTTGACATGGTGGTAAGACCACATGTGCACAAGTTTCTACAAGGAAATTTCGCCATGAATTGCTTTGGCAGACAATATTCCAAACATGGCATGTGTGGTCCGCAGTCAAGTAGTGACTATAAGAGCATGCCAAACGCTGCAGTTTCTTGAGTGAATGAAGATATATTTCACTTCGAAGCATGCAACCACAACAAAAGTCCGACAGAACCCCAAAAATCTACACTCAGCATTTACCACCAAGATCGTAACTTTGGCCAATTCATTGACAACAATCTCTCAATAAAGAACCTGCTAAGTTCGATTTGCTTATGCTTCTCAGACGGCTGCAAATCCAACCACGGTAGATCATCGTGCCAAGGTAGCTCAACTGACCAGGATAGTTCAAACTAACCGGGGAAGGTTTCTGGTTCCGAAATGGAAGACCAGCAGCCAGAGTTACACAACACACAAAGATTGTGATACCTAATCTGCTAACAGACTTGCTGCAGGGTATTTAGTTCCCGATACTTCTATTGAACGTCCAACCCGCATGGCACCGCAGTTGTTTTCCCTTTGCTCCATAGAATGAGCGACCAACTGGCCGCGGGAGTCTCCACTCCGACGGGTATCACAGCCGCTTACCTCAACGAAGGGGGACGTGCGCGATCAAGGGCGTTATGAACTTTATGCAAGGAACTGGGCACACATGGAGTATCATAATGTGAACGCTCGTGGACGCCCTGCCGCCTCTTATCGCGCGAGATATGCTAGCTAGGGGGGGGGGATGAGCTTCTTTAAGTGGAAAGTCCGGGGCAAAGAAGGTTGGGCCCCATCGGGATGATGTCTTTCCCGTAAATTAGGCATAGGAAGGAAAGATTACTGATTACGGGAATAGTTAAGTGTGTTATAGGGATCAAGGTTCAAGTGGACGGGGCTGAAAATGGAGAACCTAGTCTAGAGGAAGGAGGAAAACAAGAAGAGGAAGAAAACAAGAGAAAAAAACAGAAGAAAAAAAAAAAAAAAAAAAAAAAAAAAAAAAAAAAAAAAAAAAAAATCAAACCACACAGAACCAAGGAAGGACCACCACCGACGCGGGCGATGCCGATAGAGCCGAAGCTCCTCCCAGCAAATGAGTTCCGGGCGCCGGTTGCGGCCAATGACCGAGTCGCCCTCGCGAGCGTCGCATTGCAAATTAATTTCTATGACGATGATCCAGCAACTCTGCAGCAGTTGGACTCTGCACCATCCCAGACACTGGAGTCATCCGCGGCTGTTTAGTTCGAATTAATTCTTGGCCAGGACGCCCTGGAGCTGGACTAGTTGGACTATTGCCTGAGCAGACCTTCCATCTTCCAATCATCCCTCACGGCGGCTTTTCCTCGATCCGCGCCTTACCGATTTTCTCCTCCATCTCCCCCAACTCAACTCTCACTTCATCCTCCCCTGGTGCCTTAGTCGGTTACTGCTTGCTCTCCTCTTCTTCCTCTTAATTTCCGCTACTTGTATTCTCTCTTGCATTGACCCCGCTTCTGTATTTCTCAGCAACGGTCTGTTTAGTTCTCAAGCCTTCCCCGGCTTCCGATCTTCTCGCGTCGGTCCTTTCCCCCCATAGCCAGTCTTAACGGAGTTTTACCTCGATAAATCAAACCCCCTTCACGGCCGACTATTGAGACGCGGAGACGCTCCAGATTGATTAGGATCTTAACGGCCAGTTAATTCGGAGCCAAAGGACCTGCGTCACTCCCGAGCGATTGCTCAGCACGATATCCGACCGAGGCAGCGGACAGGAAAGCGCTGAGCACTCGACAACGTGTAGCGCAGGGAAGCAACGGCCCTTTCAGTGTGACTCCTCTAGTGTGGTTTGACAATGGCAACGGAAATGCAGTCGTTCTACACCCCCTCCACCTCCACACATATCTCGTCGCATGCGCCGGCTGCAGTGGATGAGCTGATCAACAAATACTCTTCCACCATGACGAACTCCCCTTGTTCGAGTCATTTGTCCATGAAGCACCCCCGGCGCAACATCTTGCAGCGATCTGTCGACCGTATCCGGCTGGAATACTACCGCTACGAGGTTACATTTGGACTCTATGTGATGACGCCAGGGGAGAAGCTGGTGGCCAACACCTTCGTGATGGTCGTCTTGTCCTTGCTGTTCTGGGCACTGCTGGTTTATTTCCCCGCGTTGCTGTACCAGAAGCTTAGCCGTCTCGTATGGCTGTTGACCGGACACAGCAGCGAGGAAATGGGTGCAGCCTTGGGCATCCTCGACTCGCACGTCAACTCGATATCCACGCCCTCCACCTAAGCGAATCGCCTGACCATTGGCTAAGCGTATTTGCCTGACCGACATCATGACTATATTATTTTTGCTCTTGGTTTGTTTGCTTTTTTGGTATAAGACAACAGGGTCTGTCATGATGGTAAGTAATCGCTGATTTGAGTTACACAGTGCGTTGTGCAGCTGACGCTTGAGGGTTGGGATAGACCCTGTTGTACTCCGTACATGCGATTCAAATGATGGCGTTGCCGTGGCGTTCCGGGACTACTATGATCAACCTTAGCGCGTTGCTGCGCACAGACTTAATGAACTGAACGGAAAGGCATCGATTTTTAATGCGAACACGCGGACCAAGCGTGTAGGACGGCAAGTAATGTGGCATTCCACCCCGATAGAGACGGGAGCACCCGACCCTTCAGTCCTGGGTTGGGATGGGAGCTCGTGAGTTTGGATTTTTTGGTTTTACCTCCTTGGCTTGTATAATGAGTCGCTCAGGACAGCAGGGTCGGGGGGAATAGGATGTCTCCCAGATCGGATTCCACACGCGAATCGATGTATAGATGAACCTCGTGTGGGTTAGGCGAATGGTATTGTTAAATGTCTAGTAATGCTTAATGTCAAATATGAACCCGTGTATGATTGGTCTGCAGCAAGGGATGTGATTTCCCTCATTACTAATTAGTGTTGTTCGTAAGTATTGAAGTACTAACTGTGTAAGGAAGCATGCGTGGACACGAGCATCCGACCGGGTTGATAAACAGGGGACATGAGGATGACAAGGCTGGAAGAGGATGGTCGGTCAAGAGCAGACACGCTGCTGCACACAATAACTCTTTGCTAATGAAGTGGAGAGAGGCATACGCCAACGATAACCAGCCACAACATGCCCAGCCCTGTCTTTAAATCGTGGTGGGGGGAACACCGCCATGATGCAACGGGTCACTAGTAGTACTCACTAGGTACTCCGTACTGCTGTGCCATAGCCTCAAAGCCATTCACGGTCGCGGGATGTTGCGTGGCCTGCGGGAACACAACCAAACTGACGCTTCACAATGACTGGATCCGCGTTGCTCAGTCATCGGGGAGTGTTTTCCATTCGGACTGGCGGCTGACGACGAAGTTTCTTGGAGATCAGCAGCGCGCCCAAAAATAGTCGCCCGCCCAGACTGAAAACCGCCTGCCTAAACTTCGTCCTGCGTCTTTCTTCCCCATCTTTCATTATCTCACCGGCTTTTCGTTCATTTGTCCTTCTCTTGACAGTGTTATTCCCCGTCCTTGTCTGTGTATTTTGGGTGGAAGAATCTCTCGTTACTTTTTTCCTTGAATTCCGCTGGAGGGAGATAGATCCTTCGTTTCGTTGGATCGTTGGGGGCTCTTTGCCGCAGTTGAAAGTCGGTTCCGGGTCAGGGGCATTCTCTGATTGATTGTTTCAGCCCTGCTTGTTGCCCGCCAAACGTGCCGTCGTCATCTCTGCCAGACGACCCCTGTCAACAAACCATCCTCTCGTTCACAGAAGAAAATTGAATTTTCACTGTTTACTACGCAACCACACAATCGGACAGCGAGAAGCTTACCGGACAATCGCTTGCACTCAGCCATCACACTGACCTGATTGACACACGACCTCCTTGTCTGCGCTTTTCGCCCGCCCGGCTGTCCATTCAATATGGCAGCCAACAGCTACTACCATGGCGGTTACAGCAACAACCCGCCTTCATATGAGCAAGCTAATCCTCACTTCGATAACATTCCGACCCCAGGCCATCCTGACTTCCACACACATCCTTACGAGCCCACGGCAGCCGACCCTCAACTTCACCACAGTCAACAATCTCTCGGTTCCGACCAAGCATATGCGGCCGGTGGAAGGCTGAATGACGAGCCCTATTCTGAGAATATTCCGCTGAAGAGCAATCAATATGCAAATGGATCTCCGCCGCCGAACTGGATGCACCAGCCGACTCATTATTCGCCCACCCCTGAAGATATCGAACCACCGGTCGCTCCGACAGCGCGGAGGAACAGGAACAGGAAGAAGGGATTCTTCCAGAAGAAGATCCCGTGGGTAACATATGCGTTCACCTTGGTCCAGATCATTGTGTTCATCGTGGAATTGGTGAAGAATGGTATGTCCGGCTGGCAAAGAGGTCCCTTGCAATCTATCTAACAGTTCTGCAGCTCAATTTACAGGCTCTCCTATTGAGACGAAACCATCCTTCAACGTGATGATCGGTCCATCCTCGTACATGCAAATTTACATGGGATCGCGGTACACACCATGCATGAAGAACGTACCTGGCATTCAGAACGCCAACGAAACAATCCTCTTCTCTTGCCCGAATGCCACCACGTCGGCGACTGAGTGCACACTGTCCGAAGCGTGCGGTTTCAGCGGTGTACCGAACCCTCACCCACACGGATCGCTTGACGACAAACCGGCGCCCAATCAATGGTTCCGGTTTATTATCCCCATGTTCATCCACACCGGATTCATCCACATCGGCTTCAACCTGATCGTGCAGTTGACCATGGGAGTTGACATGGAGCGGATGATTGGCTGGTGGCGATATTTCCTGGTTTATGTGGCCAGTGGAATTTGGGGCTTTGTTTTGGGCGGCAACTATGCCGGGCAGGGCGAGGCGTCGTGCGGCTGCTCTGGTGCACTGTTCGGTATCCTCGCTCTTTTCATCTTGGACCTCCTCTATACATGGAAGGACCGCGCTTCTCCTTGGGTGGAGTTGATCATTATGATCTTGGGTATTGCGGTGTCTTTCGTGTTGGGGCTTTTGCCAGGATTGGATAATTTTGCTCACATTGGAGGCTTCATCATGGGGCTGGCTCTGGGCTTGTGTCTTCTTCGGTCGCCTAACGCGCTGCGCGAGAGGATTGGCCTGGCGCGCAACCCGTATGTTGCCATGAGCGGCGGGGCGGGCACTCCCACGCCCGATGACAGCCAGAAGGTGAATACTGGGCCCAGCCTGGTTGATTTCCTCAAGGGACGTCGGACTCGCACCGGGGCAGGCGCCAGCAACAACAAGTTGAACCCAGTGAACTTCTTCCGGGGTCGGAAGCCACTGTGGTGGGCATGGTGGTTGGTTCGCGCGGGTGCCTTGGTCGCGGTGCTCGTCGGCTTTATCCTTCTGATTGTCGATTTCTACAAGTATCCCAAGTCGAACTGTTCCTGGTGCTACCGGTTGAGTTGTCTGGTACGTAACGCAATGCTGGTGGAATACGCTCATGCTAACTGTGTCGCAGCCTGTCAATGGATGGTGCAAAGAAGGCCAATTAACGACGACAACGACAACGAAGACCTCCTGAGCGACCACATTCCGAAATTTTCTTTCTTCACTGTGTTATACTCTCTAGTATATGTTTGGTCTGGTTTCTTAGGATATCCTGTCGCATCTGCGGTTATCATATATCAAGGCAGTATCAGCGGCGTTTGGGATACTTGTATCTGGTGCTGTAGTTGCACCAGCGACTTATGTTTATACCATAGTATGGGATGGAAATCCCAATGATAAATGATTATGATTGCGCGGTAGTTGAGAGTAAATAATACCAGGCAGCTGTTTTGTGAACAACCAACAGTGCCGAGCCACAATCTAAATATAGGCGCATGTGATCGGCAAACCGTGGCTGTGCGGTACGGTACATGTAACGTAAGAATAATGTGGTGCCTCAGATCGCCAAATCCATCAGTTCCATTCCTTCCCTCCACTTCCGCTCTCCCCGTCATCTCTCATTCCCACTTTACTCCTTTCTAGACTCGTTCATAGTAGAGTGTATTCTCCAACTGCTGTACATTCGAGTTGTCACCTCTGCGCTGCTGATACCACACCCTTGTATATTCGGTTATCGCCATGATTTGAATCGTCGCTCGCAACGTGGATGTCATCTCGCTGATACTCCATACTCCATATGACCATGGCAACACTGGCAGCCTCACCTCCATCCTCGCCTTCGTGGCCGAAACGACGTCCGCGGGCCTGGGCTCTCCGCATTGAACGCTACTGCTGCACGGCAGCATCATTCTTCCCTCTGGCATTCGTCTACAGCCTAACGACATGGGCTGTCTGGGTCGAGGCCAGTGTCGGCTTCAAGCCGTCTGAGAGTGCTTGGATCGGTGTGTAACCGTGGTTTCTCATTGTTTCACTCATCTGCTTACAGACCTGCAAACTAGGTATCCCAAGCTCTTTCCTCGGAATCATCCTCTACATCTGCCTCAACGCATGCTATACGGTCGCCGTCTTCACCGATCCCGGATCCCCTCTCACTCCTAGCGGCCGCGGTCGACATGAATATAGTGCACTTCCGGTGACCGAATTACCACAGTATACCGCCTATACCGTGAGTTCGACCGGTGGATCCCGATTCTGCAAGAAATGCCAGTGCCCCAAACCGGACCGGGCGCACCACTGCTCAACATGCAAGCGCTGCGTGCTGAAGATGGATCACCACTGTCCGTGGCTGGCGACATGTGTCGGACTGTACAACTACAAAGCTTTTCTGCTGTTCTTGATATATACGTCGATCTTCTGCTGGGTGGATTTCCTCGTCGCGGCGCTGTGGATATGGACGGAAATGCTGGACGACAGTAAATATATCGATGTGGATAAGATGCTGCCGATCAACGTGGTGTTGCTGGCGGTGCTGGGTGGTATTATTGGCCTGGTGCTGTCAGGTTTTACCGTCTGGCATATCAGCCTGGCGTTGCGGGGAATCACGACGATTGAGTGTCTGGAGAAGACCCGGTATGTGTCTCCGTTGCGGAAAGCGCTGGATCGCCACCGCTACGAGAATGTGCTGGGCAGCGAAGGGGGCGACCGAGAAGGCTTTGGTCACCGGCTGCAGGACTACGGAGGACAGATCCTCGACGCTCACGCGAATGCAATCCCGGGAGTGACGCGGGCCGAAGAGGGCGAGGAACCGACTCCTCCGCCCAGTGTATCACCGTCCGGGATGCGGATGTCACCCGCACAGCAGGCATTGTCGCGGTCATACGCCGAGATGGAGCGCCAGCGTGAGCACGACCGGTATCAGAACTACCTGGACGAGGAGGACAGCGAGAAAATGCCGCACGCATTCGACCTGGGATGGCGACGCAACCTGCGGCACTTGTTCGGTGACCGCCCGCTGCTCTGGCCAGTGCCGGTGTGTACGACGACAGGCGATGGCTGGCACTGGGAGCCGAGCGCCAAGTTCATGGAGGCGCGCGATCGCGTGCGACAGCGACGGGAGCGGGAGGCGGCGGAGCAAGAGCAATATCAGCGGGACCTGTACCAGCGGAACATGAATAACAGCCATGCATGGGGCGCATCCGCAGCAGCAAATTGGACGCCGAACCAGCCACTAGATGTGGTGCGCGACCCAGAGCGGCCGAACACGGGCGTGTCGATGAAGACACTGGCGCCGATGTCACCACGGCTGCGGGGACAGGACAGCGAGGGAGAGATGAGCGAAGAGGAGATGCACGGACGAGAGGATGAATGGCGGAGCTGGGATTGATGTGTATCAGTATATACTAGGATGATAATGCTTAACACGCTAGAACTATTATGAATATTATACTACGGAGTTAATGGAATGTGAAAGACACCTGATTAATAAGGCACGTAAACGTCAGGCCAACTGGCCTATCCGGATCTCCACCTTATCTATATCTCCGAGTATCCATCCATCCATCCCATCACATCATCACCTATACCTCACCTCACCATCCACCATCTACCATCACACATAACACCCACACTACCAACCCGCCCGGTGTGACACCACCAACCCAACCCAAAAACCAACCCTCCAAAACCAAACCTTTAAGAACATGTCCCCCTCAACCCGCCGCCTCCTCAAAGAATCCACCGACCTCCAAACCAACCCATCACCCTACTTCCACGCCGCCCCCGTATCCGACACCAACCTCTTCGACTGGCACTTCACCCTCCTCGGCCCACCACCACCCTCGCCCTACGCCGGCGGCATCTACCACGGCCGCATCACCCTCCCACCCACATACCCACTCCGGCCCCCCAGCTTCCGATTCCTAACCCCCTCGGGACGATTCGAAGTCAACCGCGAGATCTGTCTCAGTATCTCAGGCCATCATGAGGAGACGTGGCAGCCCGCGTGGGGGATTCGGACGGCGTTGATTGCCCTGCGGAGTTTCATGGATGGAGATGCGAAGGGACAGGTGGGCGGGTTGGATGTGGCGGATGAGGTGAGGAGGAGGTATGCGAGGGAGAGTAGGGCGTGGAGGTGTGATGGGTGTGAGGGGAGTAAGGGGAGGGGGAATGAGGTTGTTATGAGGGAGTGGTGGGGGGTTTGTAGGGAGAGGGGGGTGGGGGTTGAGGGGGAGGATTTTGGGGGGGATGAGATGGGGGATGAGAGGGAGGGGGAGGAGAAGGAGGGGGATGAGGCTGCAGCTGCGGATGCAGGTATATCTGCAGGTGTGGATACGTCTCAGATCCCTCAAGCAGAGGTACAACCACAGCCTCAACCACAGCAGCCCCAACAACAGCAATTACAACATACTCCCCCAGCAACAAGACCTCCACCACCAGTGCCTACTGCACCAGCTGCTGCTGCTGCAGCCGCTGCAACATCTCAAGATACACCCTGGCTCGACCGAGCCATTATCGGCGTCATCATCGCCCTAGTAGCCATGATCCTAAGACGTCTAACGCGCGACATGGACTTGGAGTGATCCTGCTATCATCTTTACTTATATCTGTGTTCCACATGAAGCAAAGGTGTTTATTTGGCGTTGGATGGTATCTATAAGTACCCTGGGTCGTTAGGTATAATGGTTATGGTTTTGTATATTAGGTGTTTGTGTTAGGCTTGCCACACGATGTGTTTTGGTGGGATAAAGGGTAATTTCAATGTTGGGTTTGTGATTGAATGTTTGGGATGTAGGATGTAGGATGTAGGATGTGGGTATGAGGTTGTGGTAGTATGGTAGTATGGTAGTATGGTAGTATGGTAGTATGGTATGTTTGGGATGGGGGTTAGTGTTTGTAATTCAAAGATGATTGTGTGATGGAGAGAAGTCAGATTATGTTGGGTTTATCTGTAGTAGGTAGGCAGGCAGGTTTTGTAAGGGATATTGTTAAGGTAGAACTAACATCAAAATTCAGTGTCTGGCATTAATTGGTCATTTACATACATCAAGTTCGAGCTACTAAACACTCATCCAATCTGCATCTGCCAATGTACATTAAATATCACCCAATACCATCCACCACCATTCTCGTACTACCCACCCCGACTCCTGCGTCGCCACACCCACCCCCTCCAACCAGTCCAACAGCAGCTGCACCTCCCACTCGCCCATCGTCGGCTTCAACATCCCGGCTATCACACTCGCATTAATCCCCGGCCGCGTCGCCACGCATCCCACGACCGCCGCCAACGCCATGTCCCACAGCACCCGGACAAACGACCCGTGGATGTCGTACCACAGGGGTATCTTCGCTGGCAGCTGCGTGGCCGCGTCGACGCCCTGTGGACGCGGTGCTACAAGGCTTCGCATCGTCTCTTGGATAGGGTTGCCATAGACGTACGACTTGGCCGGTCGCACCTCCATCGAGAATCGCAGCTTGTCCTTGTCGATTTGCCGCGTCAGGTAGCCCCCGTCCGTTAGTCCGTACTTCTCGCGCGGCACATCGCGCGGGTGAAGCACCACACGACCCGTGGCAAACAGGTTGATCACTACAAGCATGTCGCCGTCTTCGGCGTTGTAGTCGATGTCCATGTATCCTTGCTTGCGCAGTGTCGGATCCAGGATCTCGGTCTTGAATCGCTGCGCTCGCCGCAGCTCCGTACTTTCGATGACTCGTCGCCGGCCAAGTGCCAATAGGAAGTATTCTGTCACGTCGTAGTTCCGGCCTGGGGTGATGCGGCCTCTGTTTCCCATGGAGAGTGCTCTTTCTGTTACGAGAGACTGCAATGCCTGTTGCACCACATGCTCTCCGAACATTTCCAGTGCCTGTCGCGCCTCGGCTGGGCGGTACTTTTCCTCTGGTGTCACCACGTTGGCTCGCACCCAGGTCTTGACCACTTCCAAGCGGGACAGCTCCGCTCTCCGCGGCTGAGGCCGGTTGGATTTCTCCGGCAGAGGAGCAGCGAATGGGACACCAGCGATTAGGGCGCGCTTGCGGCCCACGGTTATCGACTGGTTGGTTTGGTACAGTTCATCGATTGGTACGAGCGCCTCCTCCCTTAGTTCAAAGACGCTGTCAAACTGTTCTCGCGTTGCAGGTAGATCGGGGAGCTTCTCGGACTTAGGTGCATCTAGTTTCGTGTTCGCCCACTCGATAACTCCCTTCCAGTCATACCCTTCCAAGTTGTCGTAGTCAATAGGAGGGACCTCGTTATTAGCATACGCCTCGATGAACCTTTCTTGGAAATCGCCTTGCAACTTGGCGATCTGCAGGCGATATTTTCCAAGTATTCCTCTAGCTCGGTGAATAACAAAGGCTGGGTCCAAGTCCGGAAAGCAGCAGCAAAGAAGGGACCAATCAACCAGACGAGCATCGGAACCTCCAGCTAAACTGCGCACGGCAACAATTGCGGCTATGAACTGCTGGACTAGTGTCCGTGGCATCTGCGAGACAAGACGGCTCCGGCGTAATGGCTGGCGCGAGACGGGTTGAGCCGTAGCAGGCTTATTTCCGTCAGTAGCAATGCTCTCATTCAACTTGGTAAGACGACGATGCCCAGGCTCGGTAGCAGTCTCGGACCGTCTTCGCCGCGATTGTGAAGTTTGACGTTCCAGACGCGCCTTATGTCGAGTAATCATGGGTGTCACTTCTGTAGCTGCATTGCCAGTCTGCTCGTCGACATCGAACCGGATATCGCCTTCGATACCAGGAGTCTCCATGTTTTGAACAGTCTGGTTGATGTAGAACAGATCCGCGCTCTTTCGACGGAGCAAATCCTCGTGGCTGAGCTCCCACTTGAGAATAGTATTGTTATCCCGGAAGAACTGGCGTGATCGTGGGTCAGCGTCTCCAGTGTCGTCCATGACTCGTCTCCGCGTCTGACTGAACAGATCATCAAGGGAATGCGGTAGGTCGGGGGTTTTCTTTCTTCCAGCCGCTTTCGCGCGGTCTCTTGCAGCTTGTATAGCCGGAATTCCAGCTTCTGTACCAAAAGTTCCAGTGGTGGCATGGAACGTCGGCTTCGTATTCATGAGCATCGCGTGGGGTGCTATAGTAGACCACAGTCGCCTCATCTTGCGCAGTGAAGCCAGCCCTGCTTCCACCTGCTGTCTTTGTCCTCGTCTGGGCCCATCGCCCGCACGCCCCGATCGGGAGATAGATGTCAATGCGCGTGGATCATCTTGGTCACCGCGACGACTCAGAGTCATGAGTCGCACGATCTCTGCACCGTCTGCTGTCTCATACTCCTCTCCCATACTCAAATGTTGCAACAATTCGCTACGCAGCATATGGCGCCGGCGCTTTTCCACGGCGCGAACCATTGCCGGCTTTTGGTGCAGCTGTACGGTTATGCCCCGTTCCACGGGCAGCTGTGAGAGTAGCTTCTCATCTCTGCGTGGCGTACCCCGATTGCCATTCTTTGAAATCTCGGGGTCAATCTCAACATTAGGAGGGAAATAGTACCGATCTGTGGCCAGCATTTCCTTTTGCATATCCAGAATCAGGGGGTCGTCGGGCTTCATGTCCGCCTTATAGATGATCTTCTTTGTTACCATGACACCCTTCCGGTCTCGCCCACTGAAAGTCAACTGCCGGACTTTGCCAGCATCAACCATGGTTTTGACGACCGATCTGATTGTGCGCAGATCTGGTATTTCCTTATGTCTCTTCTTTTGCCAAGCTGTCATAAATGGATACCAGATTTCTGTGCCCATAGGATACGCGCCGCCAGCTTGTTCAAGGATATCCATGACAATCGACCTCCGAAGGACAGCGACGGAACCACCTTTCTCTGCGAATATTCTTCGCTTTCTACCAGATGGCTCAGGTGCTTCTGGGGCACTCTTCTTCTGTTCTGTCGCTTTGGGCGCAGCTGGTTCAGCCAAGCTTTGTTGAGTCATGTCGTTTGTCGTAGCGATTTCCGAAGATTCGTTGGTAACGGTACCTCTCTCCGATGGCCTTTCCGCCGCTGAAGCCTCAGGCTCATCTTCAACGGCATCATTGCCTTCTCCGGTTTCAGCGGTCGACTCGGTGGTTGTACCTTTCCTGTCCCGTAAGGCTTGTCCAGAGCGAGCCCGTTTGAAAAAGGTTTCTATATTCCCATTGCGAGTGGCGGGTCGGCCGCTGCTCCGCGGGAATTTCCGAGTTGAAACGTTGTCCAATACAGAGCCGTCGTCTGCCTGCGAGGGACCTTCTTCTGTGAGCATAGGCGACGCTGCTCTTTTTCTTTTAGTTCGTCTCAAAGGCGACGTCTGTGTCGCTTCAGGTTCACGCTCGAGCGGTTCTGCAGTCGGCGAACCATTTTGCGAATCCCCATTGACTTCCTCAACACGCCGGTGCTTTGGCGCATTTTCACCCTCCAATCCATATTCGGTATCTGACCCATCCTGACGCAATCTTTTCGAGCCTCTAACAGAAAGAGCTGGAGAAGTGGATTGGGGTGGGACACCATCATCAACTACAGGAGAGGACTGAGTCCGTCCGCTGGCCTGCAAACGAGTCTTCCTGGATACAATCACAGAGTCGTCATCTGGCTCGGCCGTGTCTTTCTGGAACCAAGGCAAAGTTGCCAGCTTTGGTGTCTTGAACACGGCGATCCGACTGATTTTTGGCCGCCCTTGCCTCTTGCCTGCCGGTCGCCGACGTCCACGAGTAGTAACGTACACACCCGGCCCGGTGCGTTCTATGAGCAAGATACTGTACTCCGTCCAAGTCTCATCCAGACCAAGAGTCTCAAGCTTCTCCTTTTCAGACATGCCCCGGAATACTTCGGGATCAAGTTGCGACTTCCTTGGGCGGCTTTTGATCGGTTTCACAGAAGGCACATCAGCCATCTCTGTATCAGAGCCCTCCTGACCTTCTATCTTCACCCTAACCGGCGTGGCATAAGGCTGCGCAGTTGAGTCACCAGAACCCCGGATACGTTGATGGATCGTGTATGTTCCATCCTCCCGGCGTGCCGCCACGGCATCGCTGCCTGAAAATACGTAGTTTGCCGGTTTAACCACCGAGATACACTCCAGCAGTGTGACGTTCCCATCCTTGCATAATTCCTTCTTCGGCACAGCGAGGGTGAGCCCATGAGCATCAAGTTGGGGAGCGGCATCAACAGGATGAATGTGTGCGCTAATTGACTTCGCTTTTTTCGGAGAGAACTCAACCGCCTCCCACAGCGCCTCCCCTGAATCGACCAGCTGCTTGAAGTTCATGGCAGTATAATGCACATAATGGGTGATAGTGCGCTGAAGCGCCGTATCTCTTACAATAGCCAGATGGCGCAGGTGCAGAGGTTGGGATAGCTGCCAACATTCTACGAGACGACTCACTGCGTTCTCCAAAGGTCGTCTGAAGTAGCCGCCAAAACAGGCTCTCAGGATTCCCTGATAGCTTCAGTAAACGTTGGCTGTCACAGTAGTATGTCAGGTGCTTACCTGATTGGTGATACCATCAGTCCCTGTTCGATCAACAATCTCAAAGATCTGATTGTGAATGCTCCTATCTGGGGACCAAGAAGGGAGAATCCGACCAGCCTCTTCTACTG